TCTCCTCTGTCTTCTGCCAGCAGGTTCAACTGTGATTACAAGCAAAAATACATCAGGATAATCAGCAGTCAATCAGCTCAGAATATTAAAAGTGACAAGTAAGTAAACCAACCCTAAATAAAATCAAGTGAATCAAGAGATTAGGAAAAGATGCCTGTGTCTGATAGCACATATACTAAGAAAACCTGAAAACAATATAACTAGAATGGCTTTAAACTTGAATCCATAAAGGGTATAGAAAAAAAAGGTAGACCCAAAAAAATACACACAGATAGGAAGTAGACGGTGAAGTTAAAAAGATAGAGAAGACCCGGGGTGAGCTGCAAACAGCATCAAAGAATAGGACAACTTGGGGTGAGCTGCAAACAGCATCAAAGAATAGGACAACTTGGGGTGAGCTGCAAACAGCATCAAAGAATAGGACAACTTGGGGTGAGCTGGCTGAGGGTCTCTGCTCCCCTGATGGATCCAGGGCAGAAGAAAAAGAAGAAGAAGAAGAAATGGCCCCCTTGTCCCTCCACTTGTCCCTCCCTCTTATTTGAGTAGACAAACTGGCATTCAGTGGGCGATGTGGTCAACATTATCACAACTGCCTTTACTTCCTAAGATTTTACCTGTTATCCAGTGTAGGATGGGTTGACCTAGGAGCTAAAGCCTTTTTTCTTTTTTTTAAATCAGACTTAACACGGAATTAAAAGCCCAGAATTTGCTGTAGATAACAGTTGTACTCTAGAATAAAAATCCAAAGCAATTTACAAGCAGATAGAATGCAAATACATCACAAATGTAATTAATGTTTTCAACAACAAACTGCAAAAGTAACCAGTGACTCTAAAAATCTGCAAAACTGAACAGAAATGAAATACAGTCATCTGTAATCACAAACTGCCTAACTGTATGCAAAGAAACAAATCACATGTCATACGTGCATTTAACAACAACAATCTGTATTTATGTAAATACGCAACCAGGGTCATATTTAGGATGTATAAAACCCCCGTACAGTCATTCATTTTACTGTCTCTTCTTTCCTCAACTAAACTTCCATCTACGCTTCTACAGCTGGACTAGAGCTGCCATCTCAACATGAAGTGATGGGACAGGTTAGCCATGAACCTCAATGAAAATTATTTGATACGTTAAATAAGAAATGTACCCATGTAGGTTCTGTGCTGCCATCTCAACATGAAGTGATGGGACAGGTTAGCCATGAACCTCAATGAAAATTATTTGATGCTTTAAATAAGAAATGTACCCATGTAGGTTCTGTGCTGCCATCTCAACATGACGTGGTGGGACAGGTTAGCCATGAACCTCAATGAAAATTATTTGATACGTTAAATAAGAAATGTACCCATGTAGGTTCTGTGCTGCCATCTCAACATGAAGTGGTGGCACAGGTTAGCCATGAACCTCAATGAAAATTATTTGATGCGTTAAATAAGAAATGTACCCATGTAGGTTCTGTGCTGCCATCTCAACATGAAGTGATGGGACAGGTTAGCCATGAACCTCAATGAAAATTATTTGATGCTTTAAATAAGAAATGTACCCATGTAGGTTCTGTGCTGCCATCTCAACATGACGTGGTGGGACAGGTTAGCCATGAACCTCAATGAAAATTATTTGATGCGTTAAATAAGAAATGTACCCACGTAGGTTCTGTGCTGCCATCTCAACATGAAGTGGTGGCACAGGTTAGCCATGAACCTCAATGAAAATTATTTGATGCGTTAAATAAGAAATGTACCCATGTAGGTTCTGTGCTGCCATCTCAACATGAAGTGGTGGCACAGGTTAGCCATGAACCTCAATGAAAATTAGATGATGCGTTAAATAAGAAATGTACCCATGTAGGTTCTGTGCTGCCATCTCAACATGAAGTGGTGGGACAGGTTAGCCATGAACCTCAATGAAAATTAGATGATGCGTTAAATAAGAAATGTACCCATGTAGGTTCTGTGCTGCCATCTCAACATGAAGTGGTGGCACAGGTTAGCCATGAACCTCAATGAAAATTATTTGATGCTTTAAATAAGAAATGTACCCATGTAGGTTCTGTGCTGCCATCTCAACATGAAGTGGTGGCACAGGTTAGCCACCAACCTCAATGAAAATTAGATGATGCGTTAAATAAGAAATGTACCCATGTAGGTTCTGTGCTGCCATCTCAACATGAAGTGGTGGGACAGGTTAGCCATGAACCTCAATGAAAATTATTTGATACGTTAAATAAGAAATGTACCCATGTAGGTTCTGTGCTGCCATCTCAACATGAAGTGGTGGGACAGGTTAGCCATGAACCTCAATGAAAATTATTTGATACGTTAAATAAGAAATGTACCCATGTAGGTTCCATGCTGCCATCTCAACATGAAGTGGCGGCACAGGTTAGCCATGAATCTCAATGAATGTTAAATGATGCGCTAAATAAGAAATGTACCCATGTAGGTTCCATGGCCCTATTTTAGGAGGGGAAAAGAATTGACTCATTGCCACCTTAACAAGCATGTTATAAAAAGAATGTAACTTGAGCTTTGCTGAAATCATTTGTTTTGAGCCCAAAAAAGCAGATATCACAGCCTAGCTGTAATCTACAACATACTGTGCAAACCTCTCTTTTAAGGGTGAAATTAAAAGAAAAAGAAATGAGAAATATTGTTTATCGCAAACATTTTTCTGTGGGAGACGGAGCATGCATGGGTATGCCCAGTGCTCTATGATGCCGATTCTTAAATCAGTAAATAGTAAGCAAACATTACAGAATCATACACAAATACAAAAACTTACAACATATGTATCCCTTGTCTCTCGGTCATACACTATCTCAGCACGGATGACACCAGTGACACGGTTGATTTGGAACTCTGCTGTCTTGTTGACTCGCTGGTCATTACCAATTATAAAGTAGTAATCTACAACACCATTTGGACCGATGTCATTATCTATTGCTTTGGCACTGTAAACCAGCATCCCATAATACTGACTCTGTTAAAGAAAAGACAACAACCAGATCTTCAATATTTGGCTAAATGTACCTACAAATCTAAAAAACATGTGATCAAGCAACAGTGAAGTTAAGAACATATCTAGAACCACGGCTAGTTTGTAATCGCATACAGTACTGGTACCTTTTTTTTAAGGCTTTATATTTTCAGCAATCCCGTAATAGTCACTGTGTAGTGAATACCAGCATTGTTTTTGTAGATGCACTGTGGTAAGAACTAGCACCATGTATTTCTACCAAGGAAAAGCCAGTCTACAACTATATTTAGAAGAAGAAAAAAACACTTGCAAAGATCAATATCAAAGAGAAATCTAGAAACATTAAAAAAATAGACCAGATCAACGTTCAGAATAAACCTAGAATATTTTTTTTAAAATAATCGAAGATCAAAATCAATATTATATCTAGAACTATATTAAAAAAAAAAAAAAAAACTTGCAAAGATCAATGTCAATAACATATTTAGAACTATATTTAAAAGGAAAAAACTTGCAAAGATCAATGTCAAAAGATATCTAGAGCCATATTCAATCCGTGAAAAGGCAGCGAAGATGGCACTACAACACTGGGGACATCTTAAGAAGCAAGCAGAGGACCATCAAGCAGGTACCAAACTGGGAAACACACAGATGGAGGAAATGAAGACGCCAAGAGAAACCCTAAAATGAACGCTGGCAAGAGGTCAAAGATGCTGGATAGATTCCATTCATGATATAGCCCAGGGCTAAACAAGAGGAAACAGAATGGAGGAATACACTGCAAGCTCTATGTGGTGATGATGACGCACATAGTAAATTTCCATAAACTTATTAGAGTTATACTAATAAACAATTTTATTTAATCATGTAGTGAAATAATAACACCCACCAAGTGCTGATTAATCTATAAAAATAAAGGTCTTGCCCTATATACCAAATACGCCTAAAGGGGTGGAAAAAAACTTTAAAAAAAAACAAACTCATGTAGTGAAAATCAAAGCACACCCCGCGGTAAGCAATTAATCATCTTGAGAAGAAGCACTATCATTAATGATGTTTAAGACCACATGTCAAAACATAAATACATGAAATACAGCATATCATGAGTGAGATCAGAAAGGCATAATGTTAGACAGGCCTGAATGCTCAATTCTTAACCCACTGACAATGCAGTTTATCTATTCGTTACTTCTTTCATTCTTCTTTTCATTACCCAATTTTGGACTTTATTAAGGACAAATGTGTATGCTTGATTAAACAACACAGAACAGGTGTTATCATATTAATTTTTTACGCCTGTGTAGAAAAAGACTGCAGCACTACGGATTTGTCTGGAGTGCTGTCATGATAATCCTTACTAATCACTAAATGTGTTTCCTCTGAAGTTAGAGTGCCTCTGCCCGAGAGGCAAGGAACCAACAGTTTGCATGCAAAATATGCTGATCGGCAAAATGGTTGTGCATGTTGAATGAATGCTTTATTAAGTTTGACATCACAGCATTCAGGACATTGCCATAAGTGCTCCATCTTCAGCAGAAGGCACAGAACTGCACTGTTGATATTACCTATAACAGTCTTCATTCGTGTCTTTCCCTTAAATGCTGAGATCAAGCAAAGAACACGCACTCCGTAGCTCCAGAGATAATTGTATATGCAAAACTCAAGCTCAGGAACAAGACCAAAGTCCAGAAGGACAAACAACTAGAACTTTGTGCCGGAGTTAAAATAATCAGCATCGTCCCCATGTGGGGTACAACTTTTAGCTATTCTGAAGCCCCACCCTGGTTTTTCCCGGAAGCCCTCAATATAGCCGGGCCTTAAATATGGCCTAGCAGCTGAATGGGATTTCCGGGACCTCTCCATGGGTGATCGTCATCTGCATGGTGGCACTTTGTGTCACTGGGTGTTTATCGCTTGTATGATGTCCTGGTGGGGTACAACTTACCGACCTACCTGCTGGAGTTTACAGCTGGTGAATACAGAAAAAAAAAGACTAAATGTGCTTTTAAACTCACCTCCAAGACATAAATGACATAATCCCTGTTTGGAGGTCTGATCCATTGTGGGGCATGATTGTTTGACTGCTGGATCTCGATCTGAATGGGGACTTCCCTAGAGCACTGCTCACCAGGAGACATCCCTCTCATGTCTGTTGCTATGATAGTTAGGTTATAGAATCCAATATGGTCTTTTATGTTTGCTTTGACAAACACCCGGCCACTGTCTAGACCTATGGCAAAGTAATTCTCCGCCTCTGTTGTAGAAAACATGTACATGTCAGAGTTTGTATGATATATATATTTTAGTTCAACGGACAAAAAGGCGACTACCAACAGGCTCTGTGGAGAGCCTTGAGCACGGTAAGCCACCAAAGAAGCCCTGGTCATTCAATGCACCAGTGTTCATCTCCAGACGTCTTGCTTTGTCTTGCCACTGGACTTAGACTTGGGCGAGGTCGATGAATTGTGCAACTCTTCCTCGCTTAAATCAAAATCACAGCGCAAGTCATCCTTTCACTTTCAGTGCAAGAATTGGCCTTATCAGCCGTCTGCACACTCACAAAACCTAATCCAGTCACCATTGGATGAAAGGACAGGTCATTATCACTTGTGAGGGATGAAAGGACAGGTCATCATCACTTGTGAGGGATGAAAGGACAGGTCATCCTCACTTGTGAGGGATGAAAGGACAGGTCATCATCACTTGTGAGGGATGAAAGGACAGGTCATCCTCACTTGTGAGGGATGAAAGGACAGGTCATCCTCACTTGTGAGGGATGAAAGGACAGGTCATCCTCACTTGTGAGGGATGAAAGGACAGGTCATCCTCACTTGTGAGGGATGAACAACAACATATATATTTTCCATATATAATTGGAATGAATCAAATACAGCGGTAGATTGGGTCACAAACACTTCTAGTCATGAACAAATCGATAGCCTGAGAACACAAATTGTGAACACATTTTGATGCAACGCACGAACTATGCCTTGGCGTACAAACATGGCTTTGGCGCTATGTTTTCCGCTCATGAACAGCATCTAGCTGTACTCAGGAAGAATTTGCTGAATTGCAACATGGAGAGATCATACTCAGCAAGAGGCGCACTCAGGAAAGGAGGAGGAGGAAGAGGTGGTATGTGTTTCAGGTGCTGATGTCAAAGAAATCTGTTACAAGTGGAGTGCAGTGCATAACCCTAATAAACTGTAAATGTCCCATTTTCGGAAAAAGATCCAACAAAGAAAAGACAAATGTCTCTGGATGGTTATCCTGTGAAAACCTCAGCCACTGAGCCAGCAGCTAAACTAACTACCAGGACAAAAACAAGAGAGGGAGGGGAAAACACAAGAAATATGTATACAGCTACCTGACATTATTACAGAATGGGACTCTCCTTTGAAAGAGTAGTCTTCTCCCTCCTGCTCTACCTTCTACATCTGCCAGTAACTATCTGGCACAAACATAAAGTTATTCTGTATATTTTATACTCAATATTTATGTTACACACATAAATCCATTTTTTTTTAAAAAGAGTCTAAAAAAAGTTTCTGGGGCACGTGAACAGAATAACTGGAAATGCATTATTTTAAATGGGAATAATTGTTTCCGGTCATAAACATTTTGGTTTGTTAAGGGAGTCAAAGAACGAATTAAGTCTGTGACCGGTGGTAACACCATATATATACAGAAATACACCAAACTTCACAGTAAAATATAATCAAATGATAAATTAAGAAGCCATAAATACACTATGAAAGATAACAAGTAATACCAATGGTGCTGAATCCTGATGAAGGCTTTTATGCTGCAACATTTATTGTGTCATTTGTGACTGATTGTCTTTTAGCTGAATAGTTCTACTCATCCTAATTGTTGGTTTTTCATGGGAAGGAAGAAAAACATTCCAAACTCAAAGTACAGGACCCTTTTCCACATCTTCAGGCGTCCTAGGCAAACAATGTCAGACTTATATCTTACAGACCAATCGGTGCTAGCTGGGTGATATGGTCAGCATTACACCGGCCGTCTTTAATTGCCAGAATATACCTTGTTCCCATTTAAGGCTGGGTTAACCTGGGAGCCAGGATAATTTTTTTTTCTAAAGTCAGGTTTAACAAAATAAACCTTGGGGGATAAAAATTTAAGTTGAGAGGACTGATTTCTTTTCACTAGGTTTCATTCCGAATGGCTCAGTCTCCCTCTCCCTCTACAGAATGGTAAGGTGACCGTTGAATGTCTCACACAAAGCTCAACCTTTGTAGCTCCAGTAACAACCCCCAGGACCTCTGTGAAAACTGAACCCATGAACAAAATGTCCCAGTCCATGAAACAACCCACAACCTCCCCAGCACAAGGCAAACAACATGACCACTTCAGTATGTTTGGTAAACATATTGGGTGCTCAGCTAAGAAACGATAACTCAGCACTCAGGACATTCCCATATGCACTCCGTCCTCATCTTCAGCAGCCAAAGAAGAGTTCCATTTCGTAATTTCATTTCATCTGAAAGGATAAACATACAACGATAAAGCAAAATGACTAATAAGAAACCTACCTGCGGGGACCCCACTGCCATTTTTAACAGTGAACACCAGCTGCCCATTTAAGCCTTCATCAGCGTCAGTGGCAATGATGTCTAAGATATCTGTGTCTATATCAGCACTCTCAGGCACTCTGCCCACAAAGAAGGGCTGCCTGAAAACGGGACAGTTGTCGTTGACATCTTCAATGTTAACATAGATCTGGAACAGACAAAAATAACGATAACATAAACTGTTTGCCATGGAGAGTTTACACATAACCTATGAGCTTTTAGTGTTAATTTTCCTTTCCTTTACAGCAAACAAAGCAAGCTGAGAGAGGGATCATGCTGCATGGGCAACTCATGGTCTCTAAAATACTGCCCAGGCTTTGTGTTTTAGAGAACTGATACATGACAAGGCAGATGTGGTCAAGGCCCTTTGGAAACAAGCAACGGAATCAGTAGAGAAGATTATTAGAGAATGAGGCACCTGGGTGTAACCAGAGGCTCTAGCCAGCTCACTACACTCAGAGGAAAGGCAAGACGAACATATAACAGATTGTGACCAGTACCATCAGTATTGGAACTCTGAAATGGCTGTTGAAGATGAGGACGGAGCACACATGGGAATGCCTCGAGTGCTGTGATGTCAATTCTTGACTCAACTCAACTTTGTGTTATAGAAAGGAATGGCTTAATTCCTGACCTGAACTTCCCCATATCACAGGTCTGTGATTCCAATGCCTCTCGATAGCATAAATAACATTATCAACTGAAAAGATGGAAAGCGGCCAAGACAACAATATACATCAATGTACACGGTATGTGTTTACATAAATGTATTATTATTACTTCACTGTAAAAGTATAGGACCATTTTCTACACCTTCAGGCATGCTGAGCATATAGTGTGGGTGATGTGGTGAAACACCACACTGGCTGCCTTTACTTCCTGGGAGATTGCCTTCTACCCATTTAAGGCCGGATCAACCTGGAAGCCAAAGAATTTTTTTGGAAAAAGTACGGATCCATTCGAATCCACAACCCCCCCCCTGCAAATGGGGCTACAAAATCCACACGAGGAGGATTCTTTTAATGTGTCTTGAATATACTCAATATAAGCCCCAGTTAATCCTATGTCAATCTAAACTATACCCCCATGACTGTGCACCTTATGAATCCTTAAAAGGGTTCCTGGGCCCCATTGTGGGGGGAAAATGAGAATTGACCCACTGCCTCCCTAAATAGCATGTCATAGCAGTCAACTAACTGGAGGCTTCCTTCAAAGCCGGAGTGCGTCTGCTTGAGTGACAAAGAACAACTAAGTGCACACAAATAAGCCAGTAAATTGGATGTACAAGCAAAACTCAGGCGCTGGCACAAAGCCAAAGTCCATCTGCACGAACAACCAGGACTCTCCACCTGAACTTACAGCCGCTGAATAAAGGAGACAAAGAAGAATAATACTCCAATATCAGGACTAGACACAACTGTGGACTTTCCCTATTTTAATCATCATACATTTTAAAATCCCTGACCATCCACCATCTGTTCTCTTGGTCTCCCTGTGCCCACTTTGTCTTGTTTTCTTGTTACTTTTCTACCATCACACGACGTATTCCAGTTTTCTCTTGGTCTCCCTGTGCCCACTTTGTCTTGTTTTCTTGTTACTTTTCTACCATCACACGACGTATTCCAGTTTTCTCTTGGTCTCCCTGTGCCCACATTGTCTTGTTTTCTTGTTACTTTTCTACCATCACACAACGTATTCCAGTTTTCTCTTGGTCTCCCTGTGCCCACATTGTCTTGTTTTCTTGTTACTTTTCTACCATCACACAACGTATTCCAGTTTTCTCTTGGTCTCCCTGTGCCCACTTTGTCTTGTTTTCTTGTTACTTTTCTACCATCACACGACGTATTCCAGTTTTCTCTTGGTCTCCTTGTGCTCACATTGTCTTGTTTTCTTGTTACTTTTCTACCATCACACGACGTATTCCAGTTTTCTCTTGGTCTCCCTGTGCCCACTTTGTCTTGTTTTCTTGTTACTTTTCTACCATCACACGACGTATTCCAGTTTTCTTTTGGTCTCCTTGTGCCCACTTTGTCTTGTTTTCTTGTTACTTTTCTACCATCACACGACGTATTCCAGTTTTCTCTTGGTCTCCCTGTGCCCACTTTGTCTTGTTTTCTTGTTACTTTTCTACCATCACACGACGTATTCCAGTTTTCTCTTGGTCTCCTTGTGCCCACTTTGTTTTGTTTTCTTGTTACTTTTCTACCATCACACGACGTATTCCAGTTTTCTCTTGGTCTCCCTGTGCCCACTTTGTCTTGTTTTCTTGTTACTTTTCTACCATCACACGACGTATTCCAGTTTTCTCACTCTCATGATGTGACACTACCTTATTTTAACATTTTGATATTCAGGGTGTTATAACTTTAAGAAAAAAAAACAGTATTGCCTGGGACAGAACAATTTAATAAAGTAACAGAACAGACTTACTTGTGCTGTGTTATTTCTACGAACTGTTTCATTCAATGGGCTATCATAGGCAATAACTTGGAATGTTAGAAATCCAGCCTTCTCACGATCAAATGTGGCATTTGGAAATATGGTGATAACGCCCTGTAACAATATTAATACAACATATACATACCATCAATGAGTAGATTATAACATAGTTTTAGATGTTAGTAACATATCAAACTTCAGACCAACCTCTATATGAGACTTTGTACAGCAAAACTCAGGGAAGAAGGTGAGTGCGGAAACCAAGAAAGAGATGGATGAATGATGTACCTGAAACCTGTAAAAAGATGAACAAATCCATCACCCAAGCCACCCGAGATGTGCAAGAAAACCATGACACTGGGCTACAACCTGGTATCAGTAAAACGATAAAAGAAGAAGTTGCATATCCCTTATAGGATGTCACACACCAATCCCAGCCTTTTTGTTGGCTGTTCGTGGTTTCACACAGTAATGTTTACCGTCTGGCAATAGTTTGCTATTGCCTTTAAGCAGTCAACACAAAAACCATTGAAAATCGTATTTACAATGTCAGTGAAATTATCAAACTACTGCACACTTTGTGAGATCAAAGAATAATCTGCTCAGATTCATATATCATCATCATCATCCTAGTGTGTCACTAGACATTACATAGGGTTTGTAACTTATTCCTCCAGCCTGTTGTATCCTAAGCAAATGTTTCATTAACATGAATGGAATCCAGTCCAGCATTAGAATTTCTGTGAGGACCATGACAACATATAAGGGTTCCATTTCATCTACAGGTGGATTAGAACAATATCAATCTTGTGGCTTTCAGACAATGGTATGAGAACTGCATCAGTGGAGTGACTGACTGACTATCTACCCCGTTAGGACATCACACAAGCGATAAACACAGGGTGGGGCTTTAAATAACCAAAAATTTTGTTCTAAAAAGGATGAAACACCAATCAGTGGAGGGATTGGGACCCCTTTTAAAGACAGCAGTTGATGCATGGAGGCAGCCAGCCTTCACTGCGGAGCCGTTAAAAATTTTTTGCTACACACTGTATTTTCCAAAGAATAAGACGCTCCTATTTTCAAGCAATATAAGGTCTTTACACAGTCTGTGTCTTATACAATAGTAGAACCGTAACAAATAGTTGTTAGAAAATATCCCTTATAGCATCTCATTTGGGAATGCCAGTTAAGGGGCAACATAAAAAGGAGAAAGAAAATTATAAAATTTAAAAGTTCTTTCCTGCTGTAATGTGAAGATTGAGATGACTGTCGAATCATTCAAGAAGTGGTGCACTTGAAATGCCAAAGATAACAATGAGGATGAGGCAATATAAGAAGACACTGATTGGTCATCCGACACAGATGAGGACATGCTAACGAACTTTCAGGTGGATGAAGGTTTTGACAGTAATGAGGAGTTTTCTGGATTCTATGATGAATAACATGAGCTCAATAACTTTATGTACTCATGTTCTTCTTCTTCTCTTCCACCTTGTACCTCATCCAAGTGTCAGGGGGGGGGGGGGGGGGGGGGGATGTAATGTTCGTTGATGGGCTCTGTCAAGAGCACTATTAAGACTGATGTTCATTTCTGTATGGCTGTTCTTAATGCCATCACTCCATCTTTTCCGAGGTCTTCCACTCGCTCTATACCCGTTGTAATGTTTTAGTGTGGCTCGCTGTGGCGGATAGTACCAGGGCATTCTTTTTAGGTGTCCAAACCACTTCATTTGTTGTTCTTTGATGACCTGTAAGACTGGCTTTATTCCTAGCATTCGTCTGATTTCATGATTTCGTATTCTGTCTTTCCTTGAAACTCCTGCAACTCTTCTAAGGCATTTCATCTCTGTTGTCACAATTTTACGTTCATTGGAGGATGTAAGTGTCCACGTTTGGCATTGATAGCATAGTGTTGGCCAAAAAAATAGTTCTGATAAGATTCACTTTAGTACTCCGAGGTATCTGCTTGTGTGTCAACAGGGGAGATAGTTGACCCATTACTTGATTAGCTTTGGCACATCTGGAGCTAATTTCTCTGTCCAGTTTTCCGTCAGATGTAAAAATTGCTCCCAAATACTTAAATCCTCTATGTACTCATGTTACTTGGTCAAATTTCTGGTCCCAAAATCAAGATGTCTCCTTTAGATGGGATTACCCTGTCTGGGTTCCAGGGCCCATGTACTCATGTTACTTTGTCAAATTTCTGGTCCCAAAATCAAGATGTCTCCTTTAGATGTGATTACCCTGTCTGGGTTCCAGGGCCCATGTACTCATGTTACTTGGTCAAATTTCTGGTCCCAAAATCAAGATGTCTCCTTTAGATGGGATTACCCTGTCTGGGTTCCAGGGCCCATGTACTTATGTTACTTGTTCAAATTTCTGGTCCCAAAATCAAGATGTCTCCTTTAGATGTGATTACCCTGTCTGGGTTCCAGGGCCCATGTACTCATGTTACTTTGTCAAATTTCTGGTCCCAAAATCAAGATGTCTCCTTTAGATGGGATTACCCTGTCTGGGTTCCAGGGCCCATGTACTTATGTTACTTGTTCAAATTTCTGGTCCCAAAATCAAGATGTCTTCTATAGATGGGATTACCCTGTCGGGGTTCCAGGGCCCATGTACTCATGCTACTTTGTCAAATTTCTGGTCCCAAAATCAAGACGTCTCCTATAGATGGGATTACCCTGTCGGGGTTCCAGGGCCCCATCGTGGGGACAAACAAGAATATCCACTGCCTCCCCAACAAGCATATCACAGGAGTCAACTAGCTGGGAGCTTCCACCGAAACATTTTGAGTGTTTCCATCCCTAGCTGCTGAAAAGCCAAGCAATAGACTTCCTGTGTCCTTGTGGCAGGATGAGCTTCCAGAAACACTGCCAGGCTGGCTGCAGCTGAGGACTGAGGTGCCCTGAAGAAGGTCTTGGTGAGGTGTCCTGAAGAAAGTCTTGGTGTCTCTTGCAGTTGCAATGCTGAACATCAAATTTGGATAAAGATCCTCTGGGAAAACCCCAAGTGGTAAATGTTGTCCCAACAAATTCTCCTTAACTTTCTCACAATGACCATTTCATATGACTGTCAGTTTTATCTTTCATGAAATCTATTTAGTTTGAGTATTGTATTTTACAAGTAAATAGATGACTGGTATTAACTTTAATTTTAATAAACATTTCTTTGATTGATTCACATTAATAATTAAAGTTTAATGTATTTTTAGATGTGTGTATGGTGTCAGGTTACTGCTGTCTACCAATATACCTTTTCTAGATGCAGGCTTAATTTAAAGATCAGAAAGGGACATTTTCTGGAGAGGTAATCTGCTCTGCTTAGCTATTCTTTTAGTGAGTGCTTGCTAGACATCTAAATTCCCTTTTCCCATTTATGGGGATATTCAGTGAGCTCACTTTCTTACATGAGCCAATTCGAGTATGTATCTGAGTATCCAGGGATACTGTCTACTCTTTGCATCAAAAGACAGCTGTCTTGGTGTCTCACTTGTATCAGGAGGAAGGATTTAAACCCACACCCCCACCAGAGTGGGGTGAAAAGAAATTTGTTCCACGACAATGAGTTATAATGCACTTCTATATAAATGGGTCCTACCAGGGTGTTTTTTTCCCTAGAAACATAAAAGGTGCCTGTTCTCTCTACAAAGTGTCTAAAATAGGTGCCGGTACTCACCATAAAGACTCTATTACAGTACTGCTCAAGAAAATATGTATGCCTAAGGGTGTCGGTACTACAAACCGGAAAGGGGGGGGGGGCATGGGTGTTACTGATACATCAGGGACATTTCATGGATTTTCTCTCCAGGACATTTAAATATGCAGGATAATGAGCTAGCAGATAGACTGGCCAGTTCTGCACCACTTGATGGTGAATTGATGTATGACAAGCTAGACATTGTGAGGGCCCTCTAGGAATAAGTGAACAGTGTAGAAGCACACAAACAGATCATTACGGTCTTGGAAAAATGGCGCTGCAAGGAGTTACCCGGGGTTCTGGCTGATGCTCAACACTCAAGGAAAGAGAGACGGATACACAATAAGACAGTTACTGGTGCCATCGGAATTGGAACTCTTTATTTGCTGCTGATGATGGGGACAGAGCACCGTGTCCCAAGTGCTATGATGTCGATTCTTAATTCAACATTCTAAATTCTTGATTCATTAATTCATATACAAAATAGTCAGTTTTGCACTGAATGGATTAAAAAAAATACTTCTTTATAACCTGTACATGTGAGTTTTACAAATAAACACACAAGATGCCAACTTACCGTGATCTCATCAATAGAAAAGAATCTATAGGGATCATTCAGCTTATATCTGACAACACCATAATCCCCCTTGTCTAGATCTCTAGCAGTCACTGTAACATTAAGAGTACTTCCATTTGTGTTTTCACGGACTGTTACCAGATACAATGTCTGCAACAACAAAATATTCATTATTGAAACATATCTCATGTACTGTTGTTCTGTGAATCAAATAAGGACATGAAATATTCATTTCTCACGTCCTTTTCTTCGGGTCAACAAATGTAACAACAAAATATTCATTATTTAAACATTTCTCATGTGCTGTTGTTGGATGCAACAAACAGGAGAACAAATATTCATTATTTAAAGATTTCTCATGTGCTGTTGTTCGATGCAACAAACGGGAGAACAAATATTCATTACTGAAACATTTCTCATGTGCTGTTGTTCGGTGCAACAAACAGTAGAACAAATATTAATTATTTGAAAATTATCATGTACTGTTGTTCGGTGCAGCAAACGGGAGAACAAATATTCATTACTGAAACATTTCTCATGTGCTGTTGTTCGGTGCAACAAACAGTAGAACAAATATTAATTATTTGAAAATTATCATGTACTGTTGTTCGGTGCAGCAAACAAGATACTAAATATTCATTATTTGAATATTTCTCATGGAATGTTGTCTTGTTCAATGACTTGATAACAAATTACAGTAAAACCTCAAAATCAGCTCGCATAAGCACATCTGATTAACATAAAACATAACATTTTAGTCCCAGGGGGAATGAATCATTATTAGTTGCCAGTTAGCATGAATTTTAACAAAACTCTAGATTTTTTTTCCAGTCCATTGGAATTTGTTAATGGAGATGGATTGTATACATTAGTTAAAAATTTTGTTAAGTAAAATTAAAGGTAGTTCTATTTGAAATATTGTCAACTAAGTATGAAGTGTTCAGTCATGGCACGACATGGAGTGCTCAGTTCCTGGTATCATCACTTTTCTATCACAATAATTCTGAAAATTTTTCAGAACTTGTTTTACGAGACTAAATCAACAATAATTCTAAAAATTATTCACAACTGGTTTTATGAGACTAAATCAACAATAATTTGGAAAATTATTCAGAACCTGTTTTATGAGACTAAATCAACAATAATTCTGAAAATTATTCAGAACCTGTTTTATGAGACTAAATCAACAATAATTCTGAATATTATTCAGAACCTGTTTTATGAGACTAAATCAACAGCAGAATCAAACAGACACAGGACAGAAAAGAAAAGAATGAAGGAATAGACTGTGAGCCCCACGAGAGATAATGGTACAACAGGACAATGATCAGCAGCAGTTGAAGCAAGAAATCAGACACTGACTGAATCTATTGTAGAATATTCTTCTCAACTAGAGCAGATCTTGCAGGTCATAATCACCATCCCCATGGGCTGTTCCTCTCCCTTTAGCACAATAAAACAACTGGAAAAAGGAAAGATCTAACAAACTTGTAACTGAACCAGGAACACTGCCCTTTAAAGTGTTGGCACTAACACTTTTATGAAAACCCAAGAGCAATATAACTAGAAGGGTTTACACTGGAACCCACAGGGACACGGACATAAGGGCATACAAAAGAATGCATGGAGAAGGGAGCTAGAGGATGAAGTTGAAAAGGGGGGGGGGGGGGATGATAACAAATAAACCCACTGTCCACAACAAGCAAGTTGCAAAAGCCAACTAATTAGGGGTTTGTGAAATTTGATGTATTGGGCTGAAAAGTGAAGATATTGCAGTCTAGCTGTCAACCACAACACAAATGTACTAACCACCCTTTTAAAAAAACATTTTTTTAAAATTCACCGAACAGGGTCTTGGTCAGCTTTGAGTTTGTAGCCCTGACTAAAGCAATCAAGCTATGATTTGCTGGCCGTTAAACACAATATCTTCATATTCTTTTGACCAGTATTTCTAAGACTCTCTTAATCTTACCATATTTTTCGTCTACAAGACAACCCCTACTGTTTTCTGTTTTAGATCAAAATTAAGAAATAAATATTTTAAAGACATTACTTTATAAGACGATACCCCAGTTGTTGTTTTTCTTAAGACTGAAATTAGGAAATAAATATTTTAAAGCAATTCCGTGCATAAAACGATCCCCAATATTTAGATCAAAATTAAGAAATAAATATTTTAAAGACGTTCTGTGTACAAAACGATCCCCAATATTTAGAGCAAAATTAAGAAATAAATATTTTAAAGATGTTCCATGTATAAAACGATTCCCAATATTTAGAGCAAAATTAAGAAATAAATATTTTAAAGACGTTCCATGTATAAAACAATCCCCAATATTTAAATCAAAATTAAGAAATAAATATTTTAAAGACGTTCCATGTATAAAACGATCCCCAATATTTAGATCAAAATTGAGAAATAAAAATGTTATAGTTGTTCTGTGTTTAAGATGATCGCCCTTTTTTTTTTTTTAAAGATCAAAATTAAGAAATAAATATTTTTAAAACATTCCGTATATAAGATGATACTCTATTTTCAACAGAAAAATTTGGGAAAACATACTCTCCTATCAAATGGGTACCAGAATGTATGTCCTGGGGAAGTAAAGAACCGCCAGTGTAATGCTGACCAAATACCCACCCAGTGCCGACAGGTCTGTAAATATACAGGTGCTCTTCCCATATGCCTGATGCACCTAAAGGCATGAAAAGGAATCTTTACGTTACAACACTGTCTCATCCATGGAAAAAATACAGCAGCCTGAATGTTACACAGATTGTTTTATGAATAAAAGATGACACACACCTGTGAGAAGATTGGAGAGTTGTCATTGATGTTTGTTATGTGCACAATGACTCTAGTGGTGTTGGACAGTGGAGGTTGTCCAGAATCTGTGCACGTGGCTGTGAGTTCTATCTGTTCAATCTTTTCAAAGTCAATGCGATCACTGACAATCATTGCTCCTAAAGTTTGAGAAACAAAATTAATCTCAAATTATAAGAAACAGTTAACACTCATTATTCTGATATTAACAGAAACAGTCAATACTCATTATTCTGATATTAACTCTTTCAGTCCCAAGCAAAGTATATAATGTCATAATGTGTTCTCCTAATTTTAAACTTTGGTCCCAACATACTAAAAAATCTGGCTATGTCAATGGTTATTCTAACTGTTTATATTGCCCTTGTGTAAGAAATACATTCATAACTATTCACCATGGTTTTTTTCACTTCTACCCAAGTATCTCATGTGAAACCTCCTGGCACTGAAAGAGTTAAAAGAAACAAATACTACAGAAGAAAGTTAATGAAACATGAAACAGTCTTAGGTTCACGAGTGCTGGTGTTTCAGAGATCTCTGAGGGTCTATGATGCAACTACAGAGTGTGTGCTTTGTGCAACAATCTTGCGTGTGACAGCCTCTCTAGGGAGAGCAACTCGTCCATGTGGAATAAAACCTGGTGCAGTAAAAATGATCTTTTGGACTTGAAAAAAAAAAACCTCTCCATACAATCACCAAATAATGCATGACATGTTTTCTGTGATGTCTGTTTAATGTCTAGTACTTGGTGAGTTACCATTTCTTCTGAAAAGGGGATCTTAGTGGCGAAAGGTCAAGCTGTTTACTTTAAACTCTTAACTGTTTCAATCCCAGACAGTTATGAATTTAACTCATCCACCCCCCCCCCCCCAAGGAGTTAACCTTGAAAGCTTCAAAGAAATAGATCTAACAAGTTAAAAACAAGGCACTATGTGGCACAAACAGTTTCACTTCCAATCTGTATAGAATGATTTGGTCAAACAATATTGTGTAACAGTACAAAGCACAATCATTGTATTTATTTTACAGGGATTGAGAACCATATGTTGACTTGCTGGCAGGGAAAGAGTTAAGTTTAAAAGTACATCTCATGGATATGTCATTCAGAACATGAAAGCAGATTCTCTGGGAATCATTGCTGAAGCTACGGAGTTTCTGATTTGTGTCAAGACTCTTGGCAGGAAGCTAGCCATTAACACCTGGTAAAATGAAGCTGATCCTCCTGACTTTAACTCTTTTGAGAGTTTATTTGTGAAGTCAAAGCTTTATCTAATGATTGGTTGGCATTTAAGCACTTTCACCATTTGGTATAAATCTAGGCACAACTGTTGCAGAAAGCAAAACCTATCCTCCCACAGTGGATGCTTCATCGTTACCAGATTAGCAAAACAAAAGGAAAACATAAACATTTTGGAACTCTGGACTAGCTGGCGTATAAGCACTTTCACAATTACTTCTTAAAGTGCATGACGTGTGGCGTTGGTAGTCTATCCACAACTTTCTATCTCGTGTACTTTCATCAGCCCTGACACAGATGATCCTCCCACATGCCATGATGTCAAACTATCCAGCATCTGTTTTCTGGGTCTCCCTCTGCCTCTCCTTCCCTCCAACTTTCCTACTGTCATGATGTACAAAATGATTTCTTTTTAATTCTAACGTTTTGCAAAGTTGACATGCTTTATGTTCATCACATCTTTATTTTCCCATGCCTTCTTTCCTTCACATTTTAGACATTGAGTACACAGCCAGCCTCAAATGTAACTGAAAATACACCTCTTCTCCCCACCCTTAGTGCTTCTTCACCAGTAACAGATCAGTAAATCACATAAATACTTTGGAACTCTGGACTAGCTGGCATATAAGCAACCTTAGCTTGTGACCCTGAAAATTTTTTTTACAAATAAAATTTCCTTTTTCTTCTTCTTACTTCCTAGGGCATTCTATTTTAATCTGCCTAATCTGCTCTTCACTATCATTTTCATTTTGTGTTGTGGTTGTCTCTTTTGTTTGTTGATGGTGTCTTTTTCTGTAGTCTTGTGTTTTTTAATGTGCTTTGTAAAATATACCTACATTTCATTCTTTCCAACTGTTTATATTTTTACAGATTTACCATTCATTCATTCATTCATTCAGTAGCATGTCCCTCGCGGAACCTCGCTGCCATAACAACCCTCCGGAAAACCTTCCTATCATGAGCAAGATGTCCTGCGTCTGATACACCCATCTGGAGATCATCTGCCACATCCTGCACCCATCTTCTCCTTGGCCTTCCTCTTCCTCTCTTCCCAGGCATATACCCCTCCATTATTGTTCTCTCTAGACTTCCATGACCTTTCAAGTGACCAAAATATTTCAATTTTCTTTGTTTTATTGTCTTTACTAGCCAACCCTCTTCAATATTCAGCTCTTGAAGTATGGATGCATTTGTTCTTTTCTTTACCCAAGATATTCTTAGAACCTGTCTGTAACATTTATATTCAAATGCATTTATGCGCTGTTCCGCTTGTTTAGTAAGTGTCCAGGTCTCACAGGCGTATGTTGCAATGGGAAAGATGCATGCTCTTAAAAATCTGACCTTTGTAATTCTATCTGTACAATTCCATAATTTATTCAGTTGTTTTAGTCTTTGAAGAGCAATTGATAGTCGCCGTTTAATTTTCTTTCATTGTGTCACCATTGTTGGTAACCAGTGACCCAAGATATTCGAAATTGTCCACCACTTCCAATCTTTCCTCATTAACATATATTTCCTTCTCCATGGCAGTTTTGTTTGTATGCATTATCTTTGTTTTTGCTATGTAAAGAAATAAGTTATGATTTTCACTATTTCTTTGGAGTGAGGTTAATAAGTTTTCTAAACCATTTTGTGATGTTGATAGTAATACTGTATCATCAGCATAACGAATTTCTGGTATTTCATGACCACCGATGTTTAGGGCATCATATTGTTCCTTGTTTATATCATCTCTTACATACTTTACATACCATACTTGAAGCCATTTCACTCATTATTACCATCAGATACTTTAAGAAAGTGTTGTGGTGTGACTCCGATTGCTTCATGGCACTTGTACATCTGTCAGAAAGCTATAAGAAGTCTTTTTCTTTTCAGAACCCTCTGCAGCAGAAATATAACACTAGGACTTAAGGACTATGAAACACGGTCACTAACCTTTAAACCACATTATAAAGTTAGTTGCATGTCCTTTACTTATAAAGAATCAACCATTGCATTTTTTCTTGTTTGTGATTTAATTAGGCAATTTTTAAATTCACCACTGCTTTCTAAAAAGTCGGCTCTCAATAATACCAACACAAGGCAGTCTGCTGTCAAATCACCCCAGCTGGGATTAAACCTGGCACCACAGAATTACAAAATGCGTTCACAATGCCTAAGCCACAGACACCGACCTAAACCACACGGCAGCCTAATTTTTGAATAAATGAAATTCAACAAAAATAACTTTTTCTTCTTCTTCTTCTCATCCACTGGCTGGCAACTCTGGTGGAAAGTTCTGGATGTTCGTCCACCTCCAGACTTTAGTCTTCTTTCATAACCTGAGTGTTGTGTGCACAGGAAATTTCACAAATCTGGCTTATCTGTATCTCTTGTTTTCTTGTCTCCTAGGCAGATATTCTCTGATTTCAAAGGATGTCCCACTTAGACGACTCTTATGACATGCTTGTTGGGAAGGCAGGGGTCTATTCTCGTTTTCTCCACAACGGAACTCACTGAAGATAACAAAAATATGAACGGTTACTGACCTGACCCAGGCAGGAGGGAGAAGTACAAGGGTGTGCGGGGATTGTCCTGCGTTATTGTGTATCCTGCTATAGTGTCATCAACATCTCTACAGTTCAGGTTTTGCACATAAGAGTTAATGTTCAACTCTTCCTCAATAGTTATTTCATAAGCAGGGTAGAAATCAAAACCGGGTGCCTGGTCATTGAATTCCAGTACATGGATGAGTAAGGTACCTGGAAGCAGAACAAGGAAAATGTTAATCGTAAACCATGAAATTTAAACAGAAGTCAGTATCTTCAGAGTTCATATGCCTTTCCTACATAATATTAATAAACCTAAACCATGAAATCTAAACATAAGTCAGTATCTTCAGAGTTCATATGCCTTTCCTACATAATATTAATAATCCTAAACCATGAAATCTAAACATAAGTCAGTATCTTCAGAGTTCATATGCCTTTCCTACATAATATTAATAATCCTAAACCATGAAATTTAAACATAAGTCAGTATCTTCAGAGTTCATATGCCTTTCATACATATTAATAATCCTAAACCATGAAATGTAAACAAAAGTCAGTATCTTCAGAGTTCATATGCCTTTCCTACATATTAATAATCCTAAACCATGAAATCTAAACATTAGTCAGTATCTTTAGAGTTCATATGCCTTTCATACATAATATTAATAATCCTAAACCATGTCTCCAAATGCTGTTACGCCGAGGGCGGGGCTGAGGATAAGCTCTCAGTCTCCATGAAATACCCTCAAGGCACGCGTCTCTCAAAGCCTCTGACAGCAAAAGTCCAACTCCTGGCCTTCTCGTGGCGGAGATGTTTAAACTAACAGGAGAAGGGGCGAAAGCGGGTCTCTGGCGCTTTAACCAGACGCTTCGGGTAGATGAGGCTCGTCAGTACGGGAGTGCAGCTCATCTAGGAGAAGGAAAACTCTGATTCCAAACCACGGGCAGATGAGGCTCGCCAGCACGGGAGTGCAGCTAATCTAGGAGAAGGTAAACTCTGACTACACACCTCCACTGCCTTGTGGCCATACCCATGTTTGGGAAAGCGCTTCGGGAGTAAACCCTGAGGAAAAATCCGGAGCTGGAATCCCTAAGGCGGTTTAGCATTTTATACAGTGTTATTCCGGCAATTCCTGCAACGTCCCCGGTGCCAAGTTGTACTGGTTTTTGCCTTTCCCTTGGTATCACCGGCGACGTAGAGAGGGGGTACTTGCTGCCTGGGCAACAGTCTGTACTCCAAATGAAAACGCCCTGGCCTGTGCCCTGGAGATGTCACTCCAGCGATGCTTGTATCCCACCTGAGATCCTAAAATGCTCCAAGGATGCTATTCTTCCTGAGCTACACAAGATCTTCTGTCAGTGTTGGCAAGAAAAATCGGTGCCACAGGATATGAGAGATGCCAACATTGTAACTCTTTATAAAAATAAAGGTGATAGAAGCGACTGCAACAACTATCGCGGTATTTCTCTATTGAATTATGTGGGAAAAGTCTTTGCTCGTGTTATCCTAAAGAGGTTGCAAATTCTAGCTGACAGAGTATACCCGGAATCACAGTGTGGGTTTAGGGCCAAGAGATCAACAGTTGATATGATCTTCTCCATCAGGCAGCTACAAGAGAAGTGCAGAGAGCAACAAAGCCACTGCTCATTGCTTTCATAGATCTCACTAAGGCTTTTGACTATGTCAGCAGAGATGGTCTATTCGGGATCCTTGAAAAATATGGATGCCCACCTATACTACTGAGCCTAATCAAATCCTTTCATGAGAATATGAGGGGGACCATAATATATGAGGATTCATCATCTCGACCCTTCCAGATTCGAAATGGAGTAAAGCAAGGATGTGTTCTGGCTCCCATGCTGTTTGGCATCTTTTTTACCGCATTATTGAGGTGTGCATTTGGGACAGCAACTGAGGGGATATACCTCCGTTCGAGGTCAGATGGCAATCTTTTTAATCTGTCCAGGCTACGTGCAAGGACGAAGGTGCACACGAGATGCCTCAGGGATTTTCTGTTTGCGGATGATGCAGCCATTGTGGCACATTCAGAGGATGATCTGCAGATCCTGATGAATCGCTTTGCAAATGCTTGCAAAGAATTTGGGCTTACCATCAGTCTGAACAAAACTCAAGTGATGGGATTGAATGTTGGAAATCCACCAAACATTAGTGTGCATGACCATCAGCTGCTGGCTGTAAATGAATTTGAGTACCTAGGCTCAAGTATCTCAAGCAATCATTCTCTGGATGCAGAACTAAACAAACGTATAGGAAAGGCCTCTGCTATGTTTGCAAATCTCACAAAGAGAGTCTGGTCAAACAAAAAGCTAACTGATAATACAAAAATGAAGGTTTATGAGTCTTGTGTCCTGAGCACATTACTTTACGGCTGCGAATCCTGGACTCTCTATGCTCCACAGGAAAAAAGACTGAATACCTTCCATATGCGCTGTCTGAGACGCATCCTTGGTATATCATGGCGAGACCTTGTCTCCAACGAATGTGTGCTCACAAGAGCAAAAATACCATCAATGTATTGTATACTGAAGCAAAGACGTCTGCGCTGGCTGGGACATGTCTCCCGCATGGAGGATGGTCGTATTCCAAAAGATCTTCTATATGGTGAATTGGTAACTGGGAATAGACCTACAGGAAGGCCAAAGCTGCGCTTTAAAGATGTATGCAAACGTGACCTAATAGATACCAACATAGGCACAGAGACATGGGAAAAATCAGCTGCAGATCGACTACTATGGAGACAGAAAGTGAAAGACGGACTGTCACATTTTGAAAGAAACCGAACACAACGAGCTGTGGAGAGGAGACACCGGAGAGTAAAACTGCCTCACAACGAGGGAGTATCTGCTTTTGTGTGTATCCTGTGTGGCAAAGACTGCCATTCCCGCATCGGACTATACAGTCACAGCAGATGCTGTTCCCAAAGCCAGCGGCACATCTCCATAGTCCCCCGGGACTGACGGATGCCATTATGTAAACCATGAAATCTAAACATTAGTTAGTATATTCAGCGTTCATATGCCTTTCATACATAATATTAATAATCCTAAACCATGAAATCTAAACATTAGTTAGTATATTCAGAGTTCATATGCCTTTCATACATAATATTAATAATCCTAAACCATGAAATCTAAACATTAGTCAGTATCTTCAGAGTTCATATGCCTTTCATACATAATATTAATAATCCTAAACCATGAAATCTAAACATTAGTTAGTATATTCAGCGTTCATATGCCTTTCCTACATAAAACTCTTTATGTGTGCACCTGATGGTTTCTCATGACTAATGCTTCAATTAACTATGAATTTAACGTCTAGCGACAGACTGTAGGTGTTGCCACCTCTGGCAGCTGCCTTTTGCATCTGATGCATGTGCTAGCTGCTGGCTTTTGCTTGGTTTGACTATCTGTTCACTTCTTCACATCAGACAGAGATAGGCATTTTGTGTGATATTCACTGTCACAGAGACAGAACAATCATGGAGTGACCAGTTTTCAACGAAGTCGCAATCACTGACAGCCTGATGCTTTACAGCTTATTAAAAAAAGGAAAGTAAAGGACCCATTTTCCACGCCTTTATAGGGCTAGCCCTGTATTTTATAGACCAATCGGCACAGGATAGGTGATGTGGTCAGCATCATGCCGGCTGCTTTTACTTCCCAGGACTGCACCCGCTGCCCACTCAAGGCTGAGTCAACCTAGCAGCCAAGGTCATTTTTAGAAAAAAAAGTCCGGCTCTGCCGTGGAGCGAACCCACGGCCTTCCGATCTGCGGCGAGTGTCTAGCTACTTCCCCACGGTGACTCCTTTTACAGCTTATTAATAACACTAAATAATGTAAATTGTCTTATAAACTTCTGATAGTCCATGCTGTATGGTGGTGGTAGTCAGATCTTTCCACAGCCTCCTTCTGTCTCATATACTTACAATCATATCTAAATACAGACTATCCTTCATGCTACTATGATACCAAACTGTCTAACATATTTTCTCTTGTTTTCCCTCTGCTTCTCTTCCCTTCTGACCTTCCCACTGCCATACAGTCTTAGGACCTGTTCACATTTCCAGGTCTAGGGTTAGAGTAACTTCCCTTGCCATTCGTGCCTCCTTAGGTCACTGGACCTCTCCTATGTTGCGAAAGTGTTATGATATCGCTTGGTTTGGTGTTCGCTCGGTGTCTGTAATGTTTGTGGGAGGTTGTGTTGTTGTGAGTTTTTTTCTGGCACCACAAGCGCCTGTGTACAAGTAAATAGTACTGAATGGGAAAGCGCCGCAGGTGCGACGGTTTTTGGCTTTAGAAAACTGAATGTTTTTGTATTTCTACGTTCGTTGGCGTTAGCTTTCCCTGGAGAGAAGAAAAACAGTTACAAGGAGATTAGGAATAGAAAAATATCGCTGCTTCCATACTCTGGAACCGTCGCACAGGTAGTAGAACAAGAAAATAATCATGCAAGCGAGCGGTGAGAAGACGAGAAAAGAGGCAATAGTTCACAATAAAGAAAACATGACTCCCCGCAACATAGGAGAGCTCCAGTGACCTAAGGAGGCAGGAATGGCAAGGGAAGTTACTCTAATCCTGGGCCTGGAAACGAGAATGGCACCCAATTTTACCCTTCCCATACTGTGACCAAAGAATGTTCACTGTCTCGTTTTGATAGGGGCAATTCAAGTAAATTTCTTTAAAGACATGTTTACAACACTTTGTGTCCAACCAAGGTGTTCTCATTGCTGTCTTTACAACCATACCTCAGCAGCTTCTACAGAATTTGTCAGTAAACAGCTGAATGTTTAAAATTCACTTCCATACATCTAGACTGGCATTAAACAACTGGTCTCTAAAAATTACTCTACATTAGAAACAGCCTGGACTCAACTAAGAGGAACTTCCAGAAGCCTCTCCTTGTAACAGAGATGGACAACACAGGAGTGTGGCAAGTACAGCTCAGAAGACACAGTATCCATCAGAATAACAGAAGTCACTTGACCTGATGGCTAGAAAATGCAGCCAAATGAGGAAAATCCCTGCCCGAGCAGATGTCGAACACTATATCCCTTGACCAAGCATAAGTTTATGAACAAGTAACAAATTTGACACAGAGAAGTGTTTAAAGACGTTCTTAGCCAGACCAAATAACCGACACATCACAGCCTTGTCTACTTATATTTGGTATTTCAATCAAAAGCAAAGAAACCTTTGTATGACATTGTGCAGATGATGCTAGAGCTACATTTTTAACCGACCAATCAGGAGCTAATATGGTTAAATTCACGGTGGCCGTCTTTACTCCACTATGTGATGTCAATTTTTAGGTAGAATTAAAAAAAACACATTATTTGACAAGGAACAAACAGTCTGCATGAAAATGAGCCAGATCTGTAAAATGGATGTGCAAGAAAAACTCAAGTTCTGGAACAAGACCAAAATGCAGAAGTGGGCGAACCATCCTTCTGCTGAAGTTTACAGTCAGTCAAAACTAAGAAGAAGAAGAAGAAGACCTTCCATGCAGGTATATCACTATACATAAATGTTACATTTACATTTATACTATAACTAATGGTTAAAACTGCCATGTTTCCCATTATGTACTTCACAGTATTTTATGAACTAGCGTGCATATGCTTCCTATATAAACACTATCAACAACTGTGAATGGATGAAAGATCTAATGAGTGGATACAATAATACTTTGATAAGCTACTCAACAGATCAGCTCCAAAAGATATCTTCATGCTATGGTATGGTAATAATGGTGAGATGCCACCTGAGTAGTACAGTAAAAAAACTATCAAACTCCTGAAGCACAGGTAAGGTGCTGGCCCAGAAGCTATTACAGTTAACGCAAACACAACGGCATTGCTGCAAACATAAAATTAAAAATATTCTCAGAGGGAATCAAAGACTGAAGAGATGCAACAGACTGGAGTGAAAGATGCTGTCCCCCCCCCCCCCCCCCCCCCCCCCCCAAAAAAAAAAAAAAAACTGGAACTTGCAGGAGTGAAAATTTTAGAGGAATAATGTAACTGCTAGTTCCTATGAAAATATTAAGTAAGATCATTCTTGAAAGTTATTTTTTAAGATTAAACAAATGTTGCACCTGTAAAGCACTGAACAGAATGCATCACTCTGCAATGGATTTGTTGGTATGACAAGGTCTTTGATACAATTAACAGGGAGTCTCTTTGGAAATTAATAAGGCACTATGAGATAAAAAGAAAATTGTAACTTAAAAAAGACAAGAAATATATAACTATCATAAAACAGGTCAATTAAATATATAAGAGTTTGGACAAAACACCAAGCTTGTACCTAATCTCAGCGCTGACAAAAATTGATAGAATTTATTTGAATGAACAAAATATACAATAACATAAGTCTGTATGAATACAATAAATATTCTCACCTCAATGACCAGCAGGCTGCGACTATTCTAATACAGTAGAACCTCGCTTAACGAGCACCTCTCATAACGAGTAATTCGCATAATGAGCAAAACAAATTGTAAAAAAGAAATGACTTGCTTAACGAGCGACGTTTCGCATAACGAGTGGCGAGGAGAGGAAAAGTCCCGGATTGGGCCCATGTTACATCAGTCTGTGTTTATCACTCGTTCCAGTAGCATCGTAGTGTCGCTTGTGATGAAACATTTTCTCAAACTTGTGTTATATTGTGATATATGTACATGAATCTTCCAGGCCTACAAGATGACCTCCCTGAAGAATTAAAGTTTATCAAGATCCAGTTTCTGCCTCCCAACACCACTCCGTTACTCCAGCCCATGGACCAGCAAGTTATTTCTAACTTTAAAAAGCTCTACACTAAAGCACTCTTCAAGTGACTGAAGGGACCAACCTCACTCTCAAAGAGTTCTGGAAAAATCACTTCCACATCGTTGGCTGCCTCAAGATGATCGACAAGGCGGGGAGGGGGTTACCAAGAGAACCCTAACTTCTGCTTGGAAGAAGCTTTGGCCGGAGTGTGTTGTCGATTTGGGACTTTAAGGGGTTCGAGACAGTACCTGTGGAACCTGTAGTCAACGAGATTGTGTCTTTGGCCACTATCATGGGATCGTAGGTGGATAACAGTTCTTCTTCTGCGTTCGACATCAGTCATGCTACACATTGAGTCTCATCTGGGTCAAAAATAGGATTGTGCGTTTAAGGTCGTCACCGGTCCCCCATAGCTTCTCTCGCAATGTGGATCCCCCGGGCCAGATCCACAGTCTTTGCTGGGAGAGAGAAGGGCAGTACTGCAGCATGTGCTCAGGGGTCTGTCTTTCTGCTCCACAATCACAGGCAGCAGATTCTTTTATGCCTATCCTGTACAGTGTGCTCTAAGACCACAGTGTCCAGTCCGAAGTCTAAAAATTGATGTTTGTTCTTTCCTGTTGAGTTTGTTTATGCTGTCACTCTCTGGTCTGTAATCTCTATTCTGCTTTCTCCACTCCCGCTTGAAAGACTGCTTTAGTGCTGTTTTGGTTTCCTTGTAGCTGTGTGGTGGATGAGGTTGTGGAAGATTACTCCCAGCTTTTGCCAACTCATCTGCTCTCTCATTTCCTTGAATACCACAGTAGGCTGGTATTCACTGCAAGACCAGTTCTGCTTCCTTGGAGAGTAAGCCAATGTTGGTCCTTAGATCTGCAATTAGTTTGTTTTGTTTTGTTTTGCTTGATAGTGCTCGAAGAACAGACAATGAGTCACTAAGTATAACAATTTGGTGCCTTCTGTGTTCTTGAGTGATGAGATGTTGGACTGCAGAAAGGAGGGCAGTTGCCTCAGCTCTGAAGTTAGTGCAGATGTCACCTGCTGGTAGAGAGAGAGTTTCTGCTCTACTGCTAGGGGGTTTAATGTATATTCCACAACCCCCCTTTCTGACTGCATCTGTAGCAGAGCTGTCGGTGAAAACATGTGTCCAAGTGGTGTTTGGATACTTTTCATAAGCATAGCAAGAGCCAGGAATCTCTGTTGTGTCTCCGTCTGGGCATCTTTTGAAGTGATCCCTGGTACCTTTAGGACTACATTTGCTTTTTCTGGCTTGCTTGTCCATGGTTCTGGCATAAGTTTTTCGCACAGTGCAACATCTCTTTCAAGCAGATCTTGGTGCTGTCTGTACAGTTCTCTAGCAAGGTGGTTGGAGCTCTGACACTTCAGTCTGTTTTTTGTTCTCTCTTGAAATTTAAAATGCAGTGGGTGACTTTGAAGTCTTTTTAATTTTTCATACTGTAAAAGAGTTTTGTATTGTCTTCTGAGTTCGAGTGGTTCAGTATCTGCTATCTTCTCTATCTCTCTGATGGGGGTGGATTTCATGGCTCTGAGAACAATCCTTAATCCCATATTCTGAACCTTGTCCAGTTTTCCCATTGTTGTCTTGGCTGTTGCAGCCCATGCAGTGGAGGCATATTCCATGACTGGCCTGACTGCTGCAGTATAAACTTGTTTTAGGATTCTAGATTTAGCGCCCCATGTGGTACCCGCTAATTTTTTCATCACTGCAAGCTTCTTGAATGCATTCCCCTGTACTGCTTTTACGTGTGACTTCCAAGTTGGTCGCGAATGAAGTGTAACGCCCCAAGAAAGGTAGGAGTGTCAGTCTGTGGAATGAGCTGGTTTTTTATTCGAATTTAAATTTTTTCTTTTTTGGGGGAGAGAGAGAAAAGTGATGCTGTGCTTTTTGAATTATTTAGCTTTAGACCCCACTTTTCGGTCCAGGCTTCTACATTTTCCACAGTTTTCTGTAACAGATATGAGGCTGTGGTAGTGTACTCGGAGGCTGTCCAAACTGCAAAGTCATCAGCATGTAGGGTATTATAAACGTGCTGGTAGAAGGTTGCTGTGATATCATTTATGTAAACCAGGAACAGAGTTGGTGCTATCGCACTGCCCTGGGGAACTCCTTTTCTTAGTTTTGCCAGTTTGCCGACATGTCCATCAATTCTGAAACTGGCTCTGCGTTGGAAAAGAAAGTCTTTGATCCACTTGTACATATTATGCACAACTCCTGCCTGTAGCAGTTTTAGCTGTAGGCCCTCTTTCCAAACTGTATCGAAAGCACGAGAGAAGTCAAAGAAGACAGCAAGAACTTTCTTTTTTTCCTGGAAGGCATTCTCTATTTCCTGTGCCAGATATGTCAACTGGTCCTCTGTGTTTCTGTGGTGGATAACAGTGATATCGAAGAGCTTGTGGAAGCGCACAGCCAAGAGCTGACCACCCAAGAGCTTACGGAGTAGCACTGTGTTCCACAGCAAGAAGTTTTGGAGGAAAGTTTGTCAGAGGAGGAGGAGGAGGAGGTAACAGAAAAGCAACAATCTTCTGCAGAAATAAGAGAAATACTGAAAGCGTGGCAAACTGTGGCATCCAACATTGAGAAGCATCACCCTAATCAGAAAATGGCTATGCGCGTTGCAAAGTTATTTAATGACAATGCTGTGTCGCATTTTCGCCAAATTTTGAAACGTCGGCAAAAACAAATGTCTCTGGACATCTTTCTAGTAACAAAAAAAATAATTAGCTATGTATCATAATTATTTCGACTTTTTTTTTCCTGCAAATTGAATTCACCTTCCAGGTGGGTTCGTTCAGCATTTGAAGAAAAGATGAAGATGATTCACTCTCCTTAACAATATGTATATAATTTACTTTGAATAAACGTTATACATAGCATTTTGTGAGTATTTTTTCGACATGGAACGCATTATTGTATTTTACATAATATATATGAGAAAAATTGTTTCGCATAACGAGTTTTTCCCTTAACGAGTATGATTCTGGAACGAATTATGCTCGTTAAGCGAGGTTCCACTGTATTAAATATTTTAGAGCTACAAGAAACAGTATGGAGGATTTGCTATATTTACCATATCCAGTTTGCATTGGGTTAGCATTAATGTCTACCACCTTGAGATCATATGTGATACGAGATGCGTTGTCCCGATCTAATGGTGCATTGACAATGACATTACCAGTGTTCTCCTCTATCCTGAACAGTTTCTGTGAAGAAAAACATTTCACTTTGACTAGAAACTTTTCAAGTGTACCAATACATAAAAAAAAAAAACATTTCACTTTGACTAGAAACTTTTCAAGTGTACCAATACATAAAGAAAAACATTTCACTTTGACTAGAAACTTTTCAAGTGTACCAATACATAAAAAAAAAACATTTCACTTTGACTAGAAACTTTTCAAGTGTACCAATACATAAAGAAAAACATTTCACTTTGACTAGAAACTTTTCAAGTGTACCAATACATAAAGAAAAACATTTCACTTTGACTAGAAACTTTTCAAGTGTACCAATACATAAAAAAAAAAAACATTTCACTTTGACTAGAAACTTTTCAAGTGTACCAATACATAAAGAAAAACATTTCACTTTGACTAGAAACTTTTCAAGTGTACCAATACATAAAAAAAAAAACATTTCACTTTGACTAGAAACTTTTCAAGTGTACCAATACATAAAGAAAAACATTTCACTTTGACTAGAAACTTTTCAAGTGTACCAATACATAAAGAAAAACATTTCACTTTGACTAGAAACTTTTCAAGTGTACCAATACATAAAAAAAAAAACATTTCACTTTGACTAGAAACTTTTCAAGTGTACCAATACATAAAGAAAAACATTTCACTTTGACTAGAAACTTTTCAAGTGTACCAATACATAAAAAAAACCATTTCACTTTGACTAGAAACTTTTCAAGTGTACCAATACATAAAGAAAAACATTTCACTTTGACTAGAAACTTTTCAAGTGTACCAATACTTAAAAAAAACCATTTCACTTTGACTAGAAACTTTTCAAGTGTACCAATACATAAAAAAAACACATTTCACTTTGACTAGAAACTTTTCAAGTGTACTAATACATAAAAAAAAAACATTTCACTTTGACTAGAAACTTTTCAAGTGTACTAATATATAAAAAAAAAAACATTTCACTTTGACTAGAAACTTTTCAAGTGTACTAATACATAAAAAAAAACATTTCACTTTGACTAGAAACTTTTCAAGTGTACTAATACATAAAAAAAACATTTCACTTTAACTAGAAACTTTTCAAGTGTACTAATACATAAAAAAAATATTTGTGTATGTGATGAAAGATAAGATAAGATACTGGTATGGTGGAGCAGGGCAATGATTCCTACTGACTGCTTTAGAGCAGGCATGTCAAAATGATCTAGACGCTGCAAGTCCGACTCGTAATTCCAACATACCACGATCGGAACCCACTACTAGCTGTGTGGATTTTTATCAAGGTATGGGGGATCACAGGTCGATCCAGTCTAAAATGGGTACTAAGAAGTATGCCCTGGGGAAGTCAAAATGGCCAGCGTGATGCTGACCACATTTCGCACCTAGTGTTGATTCATCTGTAAAAATATGGGAGCTTTTACCACATGCCCAATACGCCTAAAGGCGTGAAAAGAGATCTTGACTTTATGTCAAAATGGGAGTTCCCCAAGGGCCGATCAGGTCATATGTGTATTGTCATAAGAGCCACATATGACCACTAACTGAAGTCATTTAATAATTAATTTTGCAGAATAATTCCTGAGTGTGGGCCACAGGTGTGCTTGCATAGGGCTGCATGCCTGCTCTAGGGCTCTTTTTAGGTCGAAGTTTCCCACAAGGCATCTTGGGCTGGCATACATTGATACTTAAAGTTCAGACCAGCTCAATCCTGTTCAGGAGCATAAGCAGGGCCTTTTGCCCTTAGAAACAAGGATACCACTACTCACCATAAAAAGGTGCCAGTACTGACCAAAAAGTACCTAAAAAGGTGCCAGTACTGACCAAAAAGTACCTAAAAAGGTGCCAGTACTGACCAAAAAGTACCTAAAAAGGTGCCAGTACTGACCAAAAAGTACCTTAAAAGGTGCCAGTACTGACCAAAAAGTACCTAAAAAGGTGCCAGTACTGACCAAAAAGTACCTAAAAAGGTGCCAGTACTGACCAAAAAGTACCTAAAAAGGTGCCAGTACTGACTACAAAGTGTCTAAAAAGGTGCCAGTACTGACCAAAAAGTACCTAAAACGGTGCCAGTACTGACCAAAAAGTACCTAAAAAGGTGCCAGTTCTGACCAAAAAGTACCTAAAAAGGTGCCAGTACTGACCAAAAAGTACCTAAAAAGGTGCCAGTACTGACTACAAAGTGTCTAAAAAGGTGCTGGTATTTACCACAAAGTGTTTTATACAACAGCAGTGAAAGAATCATGTCTAGAAAAAAGTGTCGGTACTGCATACCATTGTGCACCGCCAAAGGAAAAAAGCCCTGATTATAAAGATACTTTAGTTGAAGTAGAAGCCCGCCACAGTTGTGTATTCTAAATAATACATGTGAGACAGGAATTCCATGGTCCATCCAGTCTTATATGTTTTCACTCCAAGATATGTTTTGCCTTGCCTTTTTTTTCTTTCCAACTGTTCCCTGAAAGCTTATTATCATTTTCCTTGAAATGGCAATTTTGCAAAGGTGACTTATGTTTTGCATTTTCCTCTTGATTTTGAAAGGAATTTACCTTGGTGACAATCTAAATAAGTGGTTCCTTCTGGCCTGTGTGTGTAATTAATTTTATCTCTTTATATAAGAGCTATGTTTTGTGTTATTTATAGCGGACGTGCAAACATTTTTATTACATTTGTATCTGTATGCTAGGATCTTACTTTCTATGTTGGTGCAGTTACATGTAACATAAAAACAATAAATTAGATACTTTTAAAGTGCTGTGGCAATAGACACTTTGTAGTGAGTATCTGCACCTTCTTTTTTTTTAGATAAAAGCACTGTTTACACATCCATCCTTTGCTAATGGTAAATAGCACCATAAACAAACAAAATCGCAGATGTTCTTTCCTCCCTTTTTTTTTTTGTTGCAATGGTGCAGATTTGCCTCAAGGCAACAGTTAATGAACAATAAATTTCAGGTTTTCTCACAAAATTAATAAAATGGCGGGGACCATAAAATGAGCGATATAACTCCAACTGACATTTTTCTTTTCTCACTTGTTGAAAATCAGCTTATAAGAAATATTTGGGCACTAATGAAGTAGACATACTGGCTTAAGATAACTAATTGAGTCTGATAAAGAAGGTACTTATCTTCTGCTTCAACTCTTGGGCTGCGATATATGCACCATCTGGTCCAACACATCCGGTCTCAGTAAACCCATGAGTTAGTAATCTTTTATGTCATGCTTGTTGAGAAGCAGTGGGTATATTCTTCTCCTCTCCCCCACCCTCCCCCAACCCCAAATCACATGGGGCTCCAGAACTCACACAATATGGTGTCTTATTTCAAGGTCTCTTCAAGGTCAAAGAGCAGTAGCATCATCAACATCATCACAATGCCCTATCGCCCAGCGTTAGCACTGATGCATCTCTACAGATCTCAGTCCCTTGTCCACTGGATCAGTTCCACCTATGGCATCCCTCGGTGCCACCATCGCAGTCCATACGCCATCATCTCTCTTGGTCTGCTTTTTCCTCTTCTACCGCTGATCTTCCCAGTCCTGATAATATTCCCCCAAGCCTTCCCCCTCATCGCGTGACCAAAGGACAGTTAAGGGGTAGAATAAGTGTATCAATTAAAGTAGTCATTATACCGAAAATGAATAATCACTATTTGCAGTTTCAGTTCTCTATGACAATTCCTTCATCAAAGAGATTTGTTTAACCAAAAAAGACCCTTTCCCATGCCATCAGGTGTACTGGGTATAAAGGGCTAGACCAATACTGTACAGACCAATTGGCACTCAGTGGGTGATGTCGTCAACATTGCGCTGGTCAAATTTACTTTCCCAGACGCACACTTGGTACCCACTCTAGAATGGGTCCACCTAGGAACCTAGGTAATTTCGAAAAAAGTCGGCTTCGTCAGGATCCAAACCCAAGACCTTCCAATCCGCAGGTCAGTGTCTAGCCACTACACCACAACGACTCCCAATTCCTTCATAGCCAGGGTAAAGTATAATGGCCAGCCCCTTGTATCTGCTGAATTTGAGAGCTCTTTGTATGCTTCAACAGGATGACCAAATTTTTTGATTCAAAGATGTTCCATGAAATCACTTACCAGTACTGTACCTTTGACTGTTCTTAGTGCTTCAGTACTGTACGTTTGACTGTTCTTAGTCCTTCAGTACTGTACCTTTGACTGTTCTTAGTCCTTCAGTACTGTACCTTTGACTGTTCTTAGTCCTTCAGTACTGTACCTTTGACTGTTCTTAGTCCTTCAGTACTGTACCTTTGACTGTTCTTAGTGCTTCAATGCTGACTCAATCTCTTCTTATTTTTTTTTCCTGCTACAATTCTTATACCTTGGCTCCCAGGTCGTCCCAGCCTTGAGTGTGTACCGGGTGCAGTCCTGAGAAAGTAAAGGCGGCCGAAGGGATGCTGACCACATCACCCATCTTGTGCCGATTGGTCTATAGAAATATAGGTCTAGCCCTATATGCCTAAAGGCGTGGAAAAGGGTCCTTTACTTTTTACTTTTTTACAATTCTTATACATCTGGTCTCACATGTTTTAATTTTGCACTGAAGTTTTTCAGGTCTGTCCACATCTAAGGTTATTGACTAGCTCAATACTTACAGTGAAGTCATACTTTGTTACGCTGACGTTGTCTCCCGATCCATCTGTGGCTTCCTTTGCCGTAAAATAGTATGCTAGTGCGTTGTTCACGTCTGGATCAGTGGCTCTCACCTGGTAGATAGATCTACCCACAGGCTCATCTGACAAGAATATAAAAACTCTAGAATAAGTATACTCTACGGCTAAGTATAAGTTCACTTTCTAACCACTTGTTGGGCAACTGTTTTTTTCTCTCAGCAACTACAAATACAGTAAACTGTTGTCTGTCCCCATCACAAATCTCTACGTATAAACAAATATTTGTCACAAACAATACAAATATGTGTTACTTGCTCTGAATCTCAAAATATGACAATGGACAATGATCTTCATTTAAATTATTTGCTAAATGTTTAAAATTTCAATTTATCTTCTTCTTTTTCACCTTGTACCTCAGTGAAGTGTAGAGGGGAGATGTAACGTTCAGTGATGAGCTCTGTCAAGAGCACCATTAAGATTGATATTCATTTCTGTGAGGCTGTTCTTATGCCATTTCTCCATCTTTTCCAAGGTCTTCCGCTCGCTCTATACCCGTTGTAACGTTTTAGTGTGGCTCGCTGTGGTAAATAGTACCAGGGCATTCTTGTTAGGTGTCCAAACCACTTTATTTGTTTTTTGATGACCTGTAAGACTAGCTTTATTCCTAGCATTCATTTGATTTTGTATTGTGTCTTTGCTTGAAACTCCTGCAGCTCTTGTAAAGCATTTCATCTCTGTAGTCACAATATTAGGTTCATTAGAGTAAACATTTCAATATAATAATTAATGTACTTATGAATGTTTTAAATATATGTACATTACAAATAAACAACCTAATCCTCTTTTTTCTTCACCTTCTTGTGTGTCAGGCTGTAAGTGTGCTGTGCCTAACTACTGCACAGAAGCAATCACATGCCTTGTGACTGACAGCTTCAGTGTCTTCAGGCATTAGTTAGCTGGTTTAAACTTCCTGGAAACAGTCTTATTAAATTTTTTAATTTAAATGTTTGAACATATTTCATCTCGCAACAGCAAGATCAAAATATATAAAAAGTTTATAAGACCAGTAGTTTTATATGCCTCTGAAACTTGCAGCACAACTAACAGAGATAAAGCCTTTTTACAGCTTTTCAAAAACAATGAATCTTTGGACCTATCAAAGATGCAAACAGCGGGGAATGGAGAGTGTGAAGCAAAAACGAAATTCATAATCTGTTTAAATCACCACTGATCACTGGCATCATAAACTGCTTAATAGACTGAAATGACTGGGGCATACTGAGAGAATGTCAGATGACAGAGAGGTAAAAACTGTATACACAAGGAAGCTGAATGGTCGCAGACCACGAGGCAGACCAAGAAGATGATGGAGAGATAATGTCCAGAGAGACCTGCATACACTTGGTGTCACCAACTGGAAAGAGAAGGATAACCAGAGAGATGTGATATTATATAATAATATTATTAATGTCAAAGAATGAATGGACATTTTTTACCACACAAAAATCTATTATATAGGCACTTGTCTAATATCAAAGTAGGAATGTATACACCTTGTATACAACAAAACACTCCTGTGTTGTCTACTGTAACAATAAGCTTACTTTCATATACACTGACAGACTGAAATGACGGTTGAATGCGGGGATTCTTGTCATTGTCATCAATGATTCTGACTGTCACGTTAGCTGTCCCAGACAGGGAATTTGGTGAACCTCGATCACGCGCAATCAACTGTAATGAAATAGTTTAAACAATGTACAAATAGGAGAGGGGATTAATTAACACTCGGACAAGAATGATTAAATAGACAAAAGTCAACTGTATGGACAGTTTAAACAATGTAAAAATAGGAGAGGGGATAATTATAAAACGGACAAGAATAATAAAATGGATAAAATCCAACTATAAGGACAGTTTGAGCAATGTACAAATAGGGAGAGGGAATTAATTAACACTCGGACAAGAACGATCAAACAGACAAAATTAAAATGTGAGCCACCTCTACAATAAATGTTGACAATTCCATAAACTCATAGGCAGGGCCAAATTTAGATATGTGCAACATGTGCAGGTGCACAGGACGACATAATTTTGTGGTGCAGCAAAATATATAGTAGTAACAAGATATTATTTTTATTGCTTTTATCATGGTAAAATCTGCATTAGATCAGCATTCTGGCATTCAAATATTTGATACTTTCAGTGTACCACTTTACTACAAGATAAAGGCACCTATATAACAACCGAATCATGAAAGTGGTCCTTGGCGCAGCCAGCTGCGTAAGTACAGATCCAAATGTTTTATTTTTAACATTCAAAATCTATCATTATGACATCTTTAACAAGTAGATTTCCTTCAAAGTCAGAGTGCATCTGCCTGAGAGGCAAGGAACTAACAGCCTGCATACAAATAAGTCAGAATTGTAAAATGACTGTGCATGAATACTCAAGTCCTGGAACACAACAAAAGTCCAGAAGTGGATGCACAACCAAGACTTTACACTGGAGTGTACAGCCAGTGAGCAAGAAGAAGAAGACATTTGAAGTGGAAGTCAATTCTGTAATACCACATCCCTTAAGCTACAGACATACATATCTTATTTGTGACCTCTTTAAAGTTACATGCTCATTTCATATTCAAGATATCCACACAACTACACAAAATATATTTTTCAAAGAGGCATCTCTGAGGTTGCATACTTTATTTCATATTTGAGGTATCTCTGAGGTTGCATACTTATTTCATATTTGAGGTATCTCTGAGGTTGCATACTTATTTCATATTTGAGGCATCTCTGACGTTGCATACTTATTTCATATTTGAGGCATCTCTGACGTTGCATACTTATTTCATATTTGAGGCATCTCTGAGGTTGCATACTTATTTCATATTTGAGGCATCTCTGACGTTGCATACTTATTTCATATTTGAGGCATCTCTGAGGTTGCATACTTATTTCATATTTGAGGCATCTCTGAGGTTGCATACTTATTTCATATTTGAGGCATCTCTGACGTTGCATACTTATTTCATATTTGAGGCATCTCTGACGTTGCATACTTATTTCATATTTGAGGCATCTCTGAGGTTGCATACTTATTTCATATTTGAGGCATCTCTGAGGTTGCATACTTATTTCATATTTGAGGCATCTCTGAGGTTGCATACTTTATTTCATATTTGAGGCATCTCTGAGGTTGCATACTTATTTCATATTTGAGGCATCTCTGAGGTTGCATACTTTATTTCATATTTGAGGCATCTCTGAGGTTGCATACTTATTTCATATTTGAGGTATCTCTGAGGTTGCATACTTATTTCATATTTGAGGCATCTCTGACGTTGCATACTTATTTCATATTTGAGGCATCTCTGAGGTTGCATACTTATTTCATATTTGAGGCATCTCTGAGGTTGCATACTTTATTTCATATTTGAGGCATCTCTGAGGTTGCATACTTATTTCATATTTGAGGTATCTCTGAGGTTGCATACTTATTTCATATTTGAGGCATCTCTGACGTTGCATACTTATTTCATATTTGAGGCATCTCTGAGGTTGCATACTTATTTCATATTTGAGGCATCTCTGAGGTTGCATACTTATTTCATATTTGAGGCATCTCTGAGGTTGCATACTTTATTTCATATTTGAGGCATCTCTGAGGTTGCATCCTTATTTCATATTTGAGGTATCTCTGAGGTTGCATACTTATTTCATATTTGAGGCATCTCTGACGTTGCATACTTATTTCATATTTGAGGTATCTCTGAGGTAGCATACTTATTTCATATTTGAGGTATCTCTCAAGCAACACACAATCCCAAAAACACAGTCACAATGTCACAAGCAAAGCACAAACAAAAATCATTCAGATAAAACATGATTTACCTCTCTACAACTCATTCAAAGGCTTCGCCTCTCATTCAAAGGCTTCGCCTCTCATTCAAAGGCTTAGCCTCTCATTCAAAGGCTTAGCCTCTCATTCAAAGGCTTAGCCTCTCATTCAAAGGCTTAGCCTCTCATTCAAAGGCTTAGCCTCTCATTCAAAGGCTTAGCCTCTCATTTAAAGGCTTAGCCTCTCATTCAAAGGCTTAGCCTCTCATTCAAAGGCTTAGCCTCTCATTCAAAGGCTTAGCCTCTCATTCAAAGGCTTAGCCTCTCATTCAAAGGCTTAGCCTCTCATTCAAAGGCTTAGCCTCTCATTCAAAAGCGTAATCTCATAAGAGCACACCCCTTTGTGGGTTTCTGAGGTCCCATTCTGAGGGGGAGGGGCATACCTCCTTCCACCCTACCCCCAACAAGCATATCGTAAAAAGGGACTAAATAGGGGTATTTAATTTTAAGTCAGAATGCATCTGCCCAAGAGATAAAGAACCAACAGTTTTCATACAAATAAGCCAGATCTGTAAAACAGATATGCCTGCACAACTCAAATTCTGAAACAAGACCACAGTTCAAAAGTGAACGAACAACCACAACTTTCTACCTGCATTTACAGTTAAGAGCACAAAGGAATCTGATTACTCACACCCATGACATAGATGTTCTGGATCTCATAATTAAACGTGGCATCCCTGGTGGTGTAGACATCTGCCACATACTCATTCCCAATGAGCGTCACATTGGTGATGGTGAACTTGCCTTGGGCCCCGCTCTGAATGTATATATCAACGACCCCATTACCTGTCGTGGGAGCATCAGCATCGGAAACTGTGACTTTCGTGACAAAGACATCTGTAAAAATGAGGAAAACAATGAAGACAGTATTAGTAGTAACTTTCACAGAAATAATACCCTGTTCAACCCTTGAGGTTCTAATTGTAACATGTATTTGCATTTGACTGTGTGACTGTCCTTTGTATTTTGCTATTTTATATATTCTATAATCATTTCTTTCAGACAATTATGCCGTTTGTATAATCATTATTTAAGTATATAAGAAACATCCACTCACACATGGTCTATAGTTTTGCCCTTCAGGAGTTAAGCATACAAGAGACATCCAATCATATCTGTGGCAATCAAAAACGCATCCCAGTCACAGTTGCTTCTTTGTCCAAGCACAATGTGATAAATATAATCTAAATCCTCAATGTATGGTACCCGTCCTAATCACAACTCAAAACAAAAAACAAAGCTGTATCAGAAAACTGATCACAGATTTAAAAAAATTCATTCTATACTCTTTCTACACCAGCTTTTTCAATTCTGTTTACCACTACAAGGACAGTAAATTGTCTTTAATACCTTATTTACTATTTTTAGGGCACTATAGGATAGGGTATTGTGAGCTTGAGGGTGCAGTTGCCACAAACTGTGCAGGTTAGAAGGTTTATTTTTGCCCTCTAGAGAAAAAAAAGTCTCCATCCCATACCAAGGATGAAATCCGGGTTTCTCACATGAGAGTTCAGTGTTCAAACCACTTAGCAGCCCTCAACAATAAACTTGTTTACAACAATAACTGTTATAAATAATGATGTGCTGATGGCTAGGACTTGTTAAACTCTAAACATGCCATCACCAAGTCCAACAGAGGTGGGGGGGAACTACTGCTCAGGCAGTTATCACCAACTGGTGATGTAACGACACACAGTATTATGGGCTTATGACTATGATGATGATTGGTAGGAACAATCTACACAACAAAATCATCTGGTCTGGCCCTGCCAAGGTACTCCGCGTCATAAGAGATAACAACGAATGCACTGAAGATGATCCTCCTGGCTTTACCATTATCTATCATGGCTCAGCACAACACACAGCTACTGGACACATGTGGGTTTGTAATGTTGCTTCATGGGTTTTTTCAATCTTCCTTATCATCAGACTCCAACTTAATGCATTGAGGAAAGAAGTTAATAAGTACAAGGCCCTCTGTACGCCAGTGGTGAATTAGGCACATTAGATTTATATACACCTATCATCATTAAGTGGGTCATGTGGTCAGTATCATACAGACTGCATTTACTTCCCAGAACATTCCCTGGTCCCTATTTCCTGAGTCGACCTGGGAGACAAGGTCAATTGTGAAAACAAATACGCTTTCATGTGGATTTGAATTTAAGACCTTCAGGTCAGCAGGCAAGCATCGATACACTGCGCCACCACAGTTCACCCAGAAGAAAGAAACGGACACAAAATGTAACAGAAATAATAACGCGTAGGTGCCAAAAATGTTACACAATTCAAACAGTTTAATGATCTCACCTCCTTTAGTTGTCTCAATTATAGTTATATCATAATTGTTTGGGATAAACTGTGGGCGGTTGTCATTGATATCCTAAAAGAAACAGAAGTACTGATGAGATATTTTATTCCATATATGATAATTTTATTCTGGATATTCTATGGTGCTGGGGTATGACCATTCTTCTTCTTCTTCAGCATTCTGAGCCTAGATTGGCATTCTCTCTGGTTGGCCTTCTCTCTCTCCAGTTGGTGACACCAAGTGTTTGCAGAAGGCATGACTAGCGGCATAAATATAAGAATAAACTGTTCTGAATGTGTTTTTCTTCTTCTTCTTCTGCCCTGTATCCCCCCTATGGAGCATAGGCCCTCCTTCAACTCATTCCAAGTAGTCCTAGACTATGCGGACACACACACACACAGCTCATCCCCATCTACTTACCTTCACTTTCTAATTCCTTTCTCTGTATATTTTTTTTAATCACTGACAAATATGATGGTGCAGTGAGGGAATCATTATGTTGACAATGTGCGTGCCTGTTTTTTTGTGACGGTGCACACATAAGTATCAATAGCTAATGAAGGACTTTAAAATTTGACGTTAGTGTGTGCATACATAATAGACCAGATGTAGAACTGCAGTAGAACTGCAGACCAACAATGATGGTCCACCAATAATGACTGCAGAAGTTGAGGATGCAATACATCATATGAAGAAAGGAAAAGCACCCGGGCCAGACAACATCTCACTGAAAGAAATCGAAGCACTGGGAGATTTTGGAATTGAAATAATAACTAAACTTTTAAATGATATTTATAATAGTGGGAATATTCCAAATGACCTTTTAAAATCCATATTTATAGCTCTGCCTAAGAAACCAGGCACTATAAAATGTGAAGACCATCGCACAATAAGTCTTATGAGTCACATGACTAAGATTTTATTGAGAATAATTATGAGAAGAATAAGAAACAAAATTAAACCAGAGATCAGCGATGAACAATGTGGATTTGTAGAAGGGAAAGGTATAAACAATGCCATATACATCCTAAGGACATTGTCAGAAAGAGCTATAGAAGTAAAGACTGATTTGTACATATGCTTCATAGACTATACAAAAGCATTTGACTGTGTGAAGCATGAAGAAGTAATCAAACTGTTAGAAAAATTAAACTTTGATGGGAAAGATCTACGAATAATAAAGAATATGTATTGGCAGCAAACAGAAGCTATAAGAATTAACAACTGTTTAGGTACATTTCAAAGCATAAAGAGGGGCGTACGACAAGGATGTGTACTTTCACCTGATTTGTTTTCAATATACAGTGAATATATTATGAGAGCTTTAATTGGTATGCCTGGAATCGTGGTTGGTGGGCACAATATAAATAATTTACGTTATGCTGATGACACAGTCTTGATAGCAACAAGTCAGAAAGAACTACAGGAAATGATAGACATTGTGGTGTTAGAAAGTGGAAGAATGGGCTTCAGTTTGAATAATGGGAAGACAGAAGTAATGGTGGTATCAAAGAAACCAATTATTCCTAAGTGTGTAATAAAAGTTGATGGTGTTATTTTAAGGCAAGTATAGAAATTTAAGCATCTGGGTACATGGATAACATCAGATAAAAGATGCATAACTGAGAAATAAGAAACAGAATGGGACAGGTAAAAACTGCATTTAATAAAATGAAAAACATCTTGTGCAATATATCCTTGTCATTGAGAGTTAGAAAAAGAATTCTTGCTTGCTACATACATCCAGTTTTAACAAATGGCTGTGAATCCTGGACAATCGGTAGGCAGGCCAAACAATTTATGGAGGCCTAGGAGATGTGGTTTTACAGAAGAATGCTTAGAATACCTTGGACAGCTAAAAAGAGCAACCAAGAGGTTTTGAAAGAGGCGGAAGCCCAAAGACAACTTATCACAGACATCAGAAGGAGACAGTCATCATTTTTCGGCAGCGTTATGAGAAGAGGGAAAATGGAACATGTTGTGACCACTGGAAAAATGTGTGGAAGGAAGGATAGAGGAAGACAACGAGAGAAGATGCTTGAAAGTCTTGTTGCATGGCATGGAGGTGTGTCGGCACACGAAGTGATACATGCTGCAGGAGATCGCAGATTATGGAGAGGCATGATCGCCCACGCCAGTCGGCAAGGCACATGATGATGATGATGATGATGTGTGTATACATGTTTATGTCTGCCTGTCTGTACGTTTATTATTTAGTTTGTATGCGTCTTTATGTGATATGTTTTTTTTCTTCTTCTTGGTGTTCTATCAGCTATAAACCCCGACGGAAAGTTCTGGTTGTTCGTCCACTTCAGGACATAGGCTCTGTTCCAGAACTTGAGTGCTGCATGCACATCCATTTTACAGATCTAGCTTTTTTGTGTGTATACAGCCTGTTGGTTCCTTACCTCTCAGGCAGAGACACTCCAGTTTAGATGGAGACACAATCAAGTCATATCCTTGTACAACATGTGTGTTAGCAGGAGCAGTGAGTTTATTCCCCCCCCCCCCCCCCCCCCCACGTGACCCCAGAATCCACACAAGGAGATATAAATAAAACACATCAAAGTATCTACAAATATTTATGTGTCTGTGTGTCTGCTTGCTTGCCTGGATGTCTGTAGATCTGGGGTTTTTTCCTCCCAGTCCAGTTTTGTTCTTTAAGCAAATGAAATAAAATTCCACATCACTGGCTATTTAGAAAATTAAAACAATTATTGTGTCTTTTTTTTTTTTGTCTTCAGAATTCTGAGCTCTTGAGGTTGGCTGCTGATATCACCTGCTTCCTTCCATTCATCTCTGGGACTGACCTTTCCTTTCCAGTTTGTGACTCTGAGTGTTGGTAAGTCAATTGTTTTTTTTAATAAACTCTTACTGGTCTACTCCAACTCTAGGATGTATGCAGTTTTTGTCTCTCTCTGTCAACTTCTACACTCTCTCTACACATCCCAGCCATCAGTCCATAAGCTATCATGATTAGTCAGGGTTTCAATAGTTTAAGAATGTCATCGTACTAAAATCTGTCATCTTAAAAACCCAAATTAAAAGTGAAAAACAGATGTTAAAATCACAAGAAACAAACCCACTCACCAGGACAATGATTTTCACATATGCTGTTGCAGCATGCTGCTGTTCTTCCACAATCACAGCGAAGTTGAACCTAAGAAAGGAAGTCAACAGGAGTAATGTACATTTTCAATTCAGTATTAATTGGCTACGACATATATCTACTGAGGTTACAAGTTTTCCTAAACCCTGTTTGAGGTGGCAAAAATGTTTCTAAACCACCTGCTTGGATGAAAACATGTTTTCCTAAACCTAAGTTTTGTGAAGGGTAAATAGAATGTTGATAAACCTCTCAACTAAGGAGATTAGTTTTCCTAAACCTAAGTTTTGTGAAGGGTAAATAGAATGTTGATAAACCTCTCAACTAAGGAGATTAGTTTTCCTAAACCTAAGTTTTGTGAAGGATAAATAGAATGTTGATAAACCTCTCAACTAAGGAGATTAGTTTTCCTAAAACCTAAGTTTTGTGAAGGGTAAATAGAATGTTGATAAACCTCTCAACTAAGGAGATTAGTTTTCCTAAACCTAAGTTTTGTGAAGGGTAAATAGAATGTCGATAAACCTCTCAACTAAGGAGATTAGTTTTCCTAAAACCTAGTTTTATGAAGGGTAAATAAAATGTCGATAAACCTCTCAACTAAGAAGATAAGTTTTTCTAAAACCTAGTTTTATGAAGGGTAAATAAAATGTCGATAAACCTCTCAACTAAGAAGATAAGTTTTTCTAAAACCTAGTTTTATGATGGGTAAATGATACTAAAAACATTTATAAAGAAGATTGCCTGACTCGCTTGTGTAGTTGGCTAAACCTGACTTTGCCGCGACTGGGTGACGAACTCCTTATGGTCCGGGTTCAAACCCTGGGGGCAGGCAGAAAAGCCACATTTCTCCCAGATTTACGGTATTTATCATGGAATCAAGACTAAAGGGTTACAATATCCACAGTACTGAGCCAAAGGGTTTCTTTGTCATGGTTTTTAAAAAAATATACAGATTCTGTTTTCCTAAACTCAAGTTATGTGCAGGGAAAAATACAACAACTTAAAAGACAGTATGTTTTTCTTAACTTTTGTGACAGGCAAAAGTTTACTAAAGCCATCTAATTCAAAGATTATGTTTTCCCAAGCCTAAGCCTTTCTTAGTGTCTTTCATAGTCTTTCTGAGACTTTCATAGAGTGTTAGTCAAAAAGTTAGTTATGTGGCCTTGCAGAAACAATTTTTGGCTGTTGTAGTTCTAGGAAAATTTACATTTAGTAGTTTGCCATTGCTTTCTGGCTCTCAATATCACTGATGAAACCAAGGCAAGACAGTCTGCTTCCAAACTGCCTGCGGCTGGGATCAAATAAAGTGTTAATAAATCTATGTAATTAGAAGATTAACTTTTCCCCCAAATATCAGTTTTGTGAAGGGTAAAACCTTATCTAGCATTTCTACAAAAGCCACAGTAGTGCAGCGGCTAGATCAGGGCTGGGAAAACTATGGCCCACTGGCCAAAACTAGCCCACCGAAAAAAAATTTCTGATACTTAAGGCTGGTTTAAAATTACTATATAATGTGGCCCTTGAGCTCACAAAATAAAAGAAAACATAAACATAGCTGGTACACAGAAAGAATATATAGAAGGGCTTTAGTGTTGTCTGTGTGTCTGACCAGAGGCGTAACGAGGGATTACAATTGTAGACTATCCCCCACAAAATATCACGTTACATGGAAATCTGGGTGCTGAGTTTTACATGGATTTTTCAATATGACCTGGGACCAGGCTGATAATTCAAAATTTGATCCGTGAACCCAAAAAATGGTTGCCCACCTCTGGGCTAGTTGCTGACCTGCTGGTCTAAAGGTCTTGGGGCTGACTGTATCGTGTAAAATTTTTTTTTTTTTTTAAATACATCCTGGCTTGCCTGTCAACCTAGCTGAAAACAGGTACCAGGAAATGTCACTGGATGCAGAAGTAGCTGGCAGGATATTGACGACACTGCCTATCAATTGCTGAGAGGTCCTTCAAAATCTGGGTGTGGTACTGTATCCCTGATGTAGTACTGTATCCCCGATGTGGTACTGTATCCCCGATGTGGTACTGTATCCCCGATGTGGTACTGTATCCCCGATGTGGTACTGTATCCCCGATGTGGTACTGTATCCCCGATGTGGTACTGTATCCCCAATGTGGTACTGTATCCCCGATGTGGTACTGTATCTCCGATGTGGTACTGGCATAAAAAGGATCCTTTAAACTTTTTGTCTTTTTAAACCATCCACTAAGAAGAGTGGGAACTGCCGCTCGCCTGCAGAACAGAAAGTTGTAGGTTCAAATTCCTGATGGAGGCAGACTTCTTTTTTTGTGTGTGATGACCTTGGCTCCCACTTTGACTTGACCTAGCTTTAAAAGGGTAAATCTGGCCGGCTTGATGACCACATCATCTGTTAAGTGCCAGTTGGTCTGTTAACTATAGGTCTAGCCCTAAATGCTCAATACCCATCAAGGCGTGGAAAAAAGTCCTTTACTTACTTTTCCTATGAAGATTTCAGTGAAGCTGACAATAAACCCAACCCCAAATGACATGGTTGAAGAGGTGCAGAGATGCTGACAATAAACCCAACCCCAAATGACACGGTTGAAGAGGTGCAGAGATGCTGACAATAAACCCAACCCCAAATGACACGGTTGAAGAGGTGCAGAGATGCTGAACAACCTGTGCTAGTACATCACAGGGTTGAAGAGGTGCAGAGATGCTGAACAACCTGTGCTAGTACATCACAGGGTTGAAGAGGTGCAGAGATGCTGAACAACCTGTGCTAGTACATCACAGGGTTGAAGAGGTGCAGAGATGCTGAACAACCTGTGCTAGTACATCACAGGGTTGAAGAGGTGCAGAGATGCTGAACAACCTGTGCTAGTACATTAGGACCAAAATTCTGGTCAGGACCTATCTACACCTCTGGGCAGTCATCCTAGAAACAGGTTCCTTAGCGGAGGCCTGGCTAACACAGACAGAATCAGTGTTTCCTTTAAGGTCAGAACCATCTGCCCTTGATGCAAGGAACAAACAGTCTGCACACAAATAAGCCAGATCTGTATAATGGATGTGCATGCAACATTCAAGTCCTGGAACTAGACCAAAGATCAGAAATGGATAAATAATGGGAATTTTCCATCCAAGTTTACAGCTAGTGAAAATGAAGAAGAAGAAGCAGAAGCAGAAGAAGAAGAAGAAGAAGAAGAAGAAGAAGAAGAAGAAGAAGAAGAAGAAGAAGAAGAAGAAGAAGCAGAAGAAGCAGAAGAAGCAGAAGAAGAAGCAGAAGCAGAAGAAGCAGAAGAAGCAGAAGAAGCAGAAGAAGAAGCAGAAGCAGAAGAAGCAGAAGAAGCAGAAGAAGCAGAAGAAGCAGAAGAAGAAGAAGAAAAAAAAGTAGAAGAAGAAGAAGAAGAAGAAGAAGAAGAAGAAGAAGCAGAAGAAGAAGCAGAAGAAGAAGAAGAAGCAGAAGAAGAAGCAGAAGAAGAAGAAGAAGCAGAAGAAGAAGCAGAAGAAGAAGAAGAAGAAGAAGAAGAAGAAGAAGAAGAAGAAGAAGAAGAAGAAGAAGAAGAAGAAGAAGAAGAAGAAGAAACAGATAAAAACTATTTGAGCATACTCTCCACTCGGATACTGTGCGTCTCTGTACTTGATGGGTCTGATGGCTGTGAGATTCCCATACTGCCTGCCAGAGCTGTCATTCATGGGCGTAACCTGCCAGAGACCACTCTGATCTCCTCTGATGGTGAAAGTTAAAGGCCCACCCACTGTGTCTGGATCCACCGGCTGAGACAAAAAACAGAGTGCTGTGTAAACCACTAGAGTCAACCAAAGCAATCTTGCTGACTACTGATTAGCACTAAGAGAATGAGAAGGATATATGGTAGAGCAAATTCAAAGAAAATTATGAATAGCATAAAGGTGTGAAAAAAAGGATATATTAAATTTCAAGCTAAAGTTGGGGAGATCGACTTCACTGCACTAGGCTATCTCATATTGTGGTTGGATTTCTTCTTGCAGATAGCTACCAGCCAGCTAAGAGCGTTGCACAAATTACACAATGCATGGTTTCAGCAATAATCCCCAGGTATGTACCCGTGCACCAAACAATGCGAGTGTGAAACTCTTCACTTTCTTCTTCTCCTCAGCGTTCAACAGATATAAACTCAGGTGGGAGGTTCTGGTGGTTCAATCATTTCTGAACTTTGGTCCTGTTTCAGAACCTGAGTTTTAGCTTACATACCAGTTTTGCAGATCTGACTTGTTTGTATGCACACTGTTGGTTCCTTGCAGCAGTGGATCAAACCCCCCTCCCCCCCCCCCCCCCCCCCCCCCCCCAAAAAAATACAGCTCCAGAAACCATACAGGAAGTCTGTGCCCACTTCGCCAAAGAAATCCCTTAAGAGAAAAGGCACTGTGATTGCTGGTGACATATTTTTGGGTGCACAAACAGAATTATTACGATTAAGGCGAAGAATCAAAATCAGTTCACTGCAACCAAAAACTCCAAAGCCCTCAGTCTCAGCCAGCAGAAGGATATGACCGATGATTGTCGCTGTTTGAGCTAGTCGGCTTGATATCAGATCCTTGTGACCAGTCCTATACTTGATGATTCTAAACTCCAACAGCCATTATCAAAAACAGTCATCAAAAGCACACATATATATGTGCGTGCATATGCACACACAGTCCTATACTTGATTCTAAACTCCAACAGCCATTATCAAAAACAGTCATCAAAAGCACACACATATATATGTGCGTGCATATGCACACACATATATATGTGCGTGCATATGCACACACACAAATAGATAGAGGCATACACGCATGCATGCACGCACACAAATGCGGGGGCGCGAAAGTTTTTGGTTGGATGGACACCAAGATGGAGTTGTTTAATGACTGCCTTTGCCTCCCAGGCTGACCAACCTTAAGCAGATACAGGCAATTTTCCAGGAAGCAACTCTATCCCCAATTTGTTATTCTAAAGCCCCACCCTGGCTGCTGTCAGGGGGCCCTAAACAGGGTTTCTGAATGGTAGAACTCTGTGTCATCAGGTGCTCATGGCTCGTTGTGTAGTCCTAGTAGGGTTGAAGGTCACTCACTCACTTTTGAAGCAAAGGGGGTTAGTGTGAAGTTTACCATATCATCCATATCATGCCTGATGGTCAATTCAAGTATCAGTATCTGGCACTTACATCTAGCATCGCAGCACAGAATGACCTTATCACTGTCAAAATCCATACAAATAATATAAGCACAACTCACTTCGATCAGCAATGGATTAATTGTAACCATTTGATCTTCGTTGATGTATCGGACATAAATGCTGTCAATTTTAGGATCATTATCATTATCATCCAACACATTGATGAAGAGCTGCACCGATCGTGTCCTGCTTTCGGACCCACCCAGGTTGTCCGTGGCGGAGGCTGTTAGAGTATAATTTCTCTTCCGCTCATAGTCAATGCACGGAGCAGTGCCAGGCTGGTTTGGTGCATTGCAAGGTGCCACTGAGACAACTCCTGTCACTTCGTTGATCTGGAAACTGCACAGAGAATTACATCATGATATTAAAAACAAGGTTAAAGAAAGTAAACGATTCTTTTCACGCCATAAGCCCACTGTGCATATGCTGCCAGACCCATGTGTTTTAAGTCAACTAGTGTTCAATAAGTGATGTTGTCAGTATCCATATTACATAGTTGTGGGTCTATACAGTTAAAGTGGAGAGGACCAACTTCATGGTACCGGGGTTTTATCACATATGGCTCAGCTTTTCTCTGCAGAATGGTTAGCTGCCTGAAGAGAGCCTCACATTAAAGCACAAACTCTGTAGCTCTGGCAATGATTCCCAAAGATCTCTGTATACATGACACTGGTCAACTGAGTGGCACCATGTGAAATGAACCCATGACTTTCAGAGCGTGAAGCCAATGGACTGACCACTTTGCCATGGAGATCACCTGTGTGGGTTTTTAACAGTATCTTGTTGGTCCCGCATCTTAGTACACTTGTTCCTGCAGCAAGGCACTGGCATCAAGTGACAGATTTGATTACCAGCATGACAACTACATCTTTTGATTTGTATGGTGTCTAGTGTGTCCCTCTATTGTCTGATTTTTTCTACGAGTGCCGATCCCTACTTGTCTATTTGTTTATCAAGGGTTCCCAACGCTTTATTTCAGATGAATGGAGATTCGAGCATGGTCTTTGGGACTGAACCTTGTTGACAGGGAGGGGATATGAATGAAGTGTTAGTGTGGTGGGTAGTGGTTTTTCCCCTTCACCTAGGTCTAGTGAATATCTGTTCACAAAAGGAACGTCCATTGCGGAGTCAGCCTCTTGACCTAGCATAACCTCTCTTCTCAAGACCACTGTGCCTGATGAAGAAGATTATGGTAAAGCAATTTCATTTCAACAACAAAAAGCAAAGTATCTAGCATCTTTACAAAAATGGATGTGCAGGCAAACTCATGTTCAGGAACAAGACCAAAGTTTAAAGTGGGTGAACAGCCAGATTTGTCCACCTTGAGTTTACAGCCAGTAAATGCTTAAAAGAAGAAGAAAAAGAAGAAAAAAGGAGGAAGAAGGGGTTTACTAGTAGTACCAGTCTTCTAAATTAGACAAATGCCTGCTGGCCCATAAGTTTCAAGCTGGAATATACATCAAGGCCATTTTTAAAATTCTTTTGTAACTGACTTTGGCCTGGTATGAACCCAGCCTGGTATGAGGAAGGGTCCTGGGAAGTAAAGGTGGCTTAAGGTCAACTATATCACCCACTGAGTACCAATTGGTCTATAAAAATAATGGTCTAGCACCATATACTCAGTGCAGTGGCGTGGAAATGTGTCTGTATTTGCTTCACCAGTCTGATCATCAGTGGGAGGGCTGACTATAATAATCTCCACTATGATGAGAGATGGGGAAGACTAACAATAATCTCCACTATGATGAGAGATGGGGAAGACTATAATCTCCACTATGATGAGAGATGGGGAAGACTAACTATATTCTCCACTATGATGAGAGATGGGGAAGACTATAATCTCCACTATGATGAGAGATGGGGAAGACTAACTATAATCTCCACTATGATGAGAGATGGGGAAGACTATAATCTCCACTATGATGAGAGATGGGGAAGACTATAATCTCCACTATGATGAGAGATGGGGAAGACTATAATCTCAACTATCATGAGAGATGGGGAAGACTATAATCTCCACTATGATGAGAGATGGGGAAGACTAACTATAATCTCCACTGTAATGAGAGATGGGGAAGACTATAATCTCTACTATGATGAGAGATGGGGAAGACTAACTATAATCTCTATTATGATGAGAGATGGGGAAGACTAACTATTATCTCTACTATGATAAGAAATGGGGAAGACTTAATTATAATCTCCACTTTGATGAGAGATGGGGAAGACTAACTATAATCTCCACTATGATGAGAGATGGGGAAGACTAAAATCTCTACTATGATGAGAGATGGGGAAGACTAACTATAATCTCCACTATAATGAGAAATTGGGAAGACTAATTATAATCTCCACTATAGTGAGAGATGGGGAAGACTAACTATAATTTCCACTATAATGAGAGATGGGGAAGAATATATTCTCCACTATGATGAGAGATGGGGAAGACTAACTATAATCTCCACTATGATGAGAGATGGGGAAGACTAACTATAATCTCCACTATAATGAGAGATGGGGAAGACTAACTATAATCTCCACTATGATAAGAGATGGGGAAGACTAACTATAATCTCCACTATGATGAGAGATGGGGAAGACTAACTATAATCTCCACTATGATAAGAGATGGGGAAGACTAACTATAATCTCCACTATGATGAGAGATGGGGAAGACTAACTATAATCTCCACTATGATGAGAGATGGAGAAGACTAACTATAATCTCCACTATGATGAGAGATGGGAAAGACTATAATCTCCACTATGATGATAGATGGGAAAGACTGACTATAATCTCCACTATTATGAGAGATGGGGAAGACTAACTATAATCTCCACTATGATGAGAGATGGGGAAGACTATAAACTCCACTATGATGAGAGATGGGGAAGACTATAATCTCCACTATGATGAGAGATGGGAAAGACTAACTATAATCTCAAATATAATGAGAGATGGAGAAGACTATAATCTCCACTATGATGAGAGATGGGGAAGACTATAATCTCCACTATGATAAGAGATGGGGAAGACTATAATCTCCACTATGATGAGAGATGGGAAAGACTATAATCTCCACTATGATGAGAGATGGGGAAGACTATAATCTCTACTATGATGAGAGATAGGGAAGACTATAATCTCAACTATGATGAGAGATGAGGAAGACTAACTATAATCTCCACTATGAAAAGAGATGGGGAAGACTAACTATAATCTCCACTATGATAAGAGATGGGAAAGACTAAATCTCCACTATGATGAGAGATGGGGAAGACTAACTATAATCTCCACTATGATGAGAGATGGGGAAGACTATAATCTCCACTATGATGAGAGATGGGAAAGACTGACTATAATCTCCACTATTATGAGAGATGGGGAAGACTAACAATAATCTCCACTATGATGAGAGATGGGAAAGACTAACTATAATCTCCACTATGATGAGAGATAGAAAAGAGTAACTATAATCTCCACTATGATGAGAGATGGGGAAGACTAACTATAATCTCCACTATGATGAGAGATGGGAAAGACTAACTATAATCTCCACTATGATGAGAGATGGGGAAGACTAACTATAATCTCCACTATGATGACAGATGGGGAAGACTAACTATAATCTCCAATATAATGAGAGATGGGGTAGACTACAATCTCCACTATGATGAGAGATGGGGAAGACTATAATCTCCATTATGATAAGAAATGGGGAAGACTATAATCTCCACTATGATGAGAGATGGGAAAGACTATAATCTCCACTATGATGAGAGATGAGGAAGACTATAATCTCCACTATGATGAGAGATAGGGAAGACATAATCTCCACTATAATGAGAGATGGGGAAGACTATAATCTCTACTATAATGAGAGATGGGGAAGACTATAATCTCTACTATGATGAGAGATGGGGAAGACTAGAATCTCCACTATGATGAGAGATGGGGAAGACTATAATCTCCACTATGATGAGAGATGGGGAAGACTATAATCTCCACTATGATGAGATATGGGGAACACTATAATCTCCCCTATGATGAGATGGGGAAGACTAACAATAATCTCCACTATGATGAGAGATGGGGAAGACTATAATCTCCATTATGATAAGAGATGGGGAAGACTAACTATAATCTCCACTATGATGAGAGATGGAGAAGACTAACTATAATCTCCACTATGATGAGAGATGGGGAAGACTAACTAAAATCTCCACTATGATAATAGATGGGGAACACTATAATCCCCACTAGGATGAGAGATGGGAAAGACTGACTATAATCTCCACTATTATGAGAGATGGGAAGACTAATTATAATCTCCACTATGATGGGAGATGGGGAAGATTATAATCTCCACTATGATGGGAGATGGGGAAGACTATAATCTCCACTATGATGAGAGATGGGAAAGACTATAATCTCCACTATAATGAGAGATGGGGAAGACTAACTATAATCTCCACTATAATGAGAGATGGAGAAGACTATAATCTCCACTATGATGAGAGATGGGGAAGACTATAATCTCTACTATGATGGGAGATGGGGAAGACTAACTATAATCTCTATTATGATGATAGATGGGGAAGACTAACTATAATCTCTACTATGATAAGAAACGGGGAAGACTAACTATAATCTCCACTATGATGAGAGATGGGGAAGACTAACTATAATCTCCACTATGATGAGAGATGGGGAACACTATAATCTCCACTATGATGAGAGATGGGAAAGACTGACTATAATCTCCACTATTATGAGAGATGGGGAAGACTAACTATAATCTCCACTATGATGAGAGATGGGGAAGACTATAATCTCCACTATGATGAGAGATGGGGAAGACTATAATCTCCACTATGATGAGAGATGGGGAAGACTAACTATAATCTCCACTATAATGAGAGATGGAGAAGACTATAATCTCCACTATGATGAGAGATGGGGAAGACTATAATCTCCACTATGATGAGAGATGGGGAAGACTATAATCTCCACTATGATGAGAGATGGGGAACACTATAATCTCCACTATGGTGAGATGGGGAAGACTAACTATAATCTCCACTATGATGAGAGATGGGGAAGACTATAATCTCCATTATGATAAGAGATGGGGAAGACTAACTATAATCTCCACTATGATGAGAGATAGGGAAGACTAACTATAATCTCCACTATGATGAGAGATGGGGAAGACTAACTATAATCTCTATTATGATGATAGATGGGGAAGACTAACTATAATCTCTACTATGATAAGAAATGGGGAAGACTAACTATAATCTCCACTATGATGAGAGATGGGGAAGACTAACTATAA